TGTTGCATCTCTAACTGATCACTTAACAGATCTAACTAAAAAAGATTCTTTGGAACTCACAAATATGTTAAAGTGAATAAAGTTATGTTTTGCGCAAAAATCAAGAACAAACAAATTCCTCAGGTCATGGAGAATACTTGTTTGAGTCTAGAGAGACTTGACTATAAAAGAATACTTGGTATTAAAGCTTGGAGAAGTTATCTATGAAAAGAATACTTAGGTAGATTGCTTGAAGAAGTAATTCAAGGAGTACTTAGGTTTGAGTCAGAAGTAATTTGTTGAAAGAATATTTGTATCTTATTTAAGATAGTAAAACTCAATCTGGTTGGATTGAGAATTGGACGTAATCTTAGTGATTGAGACGAAATAATATAAAAATATCATGTGTTTTCACCTACTCCATCTCCAACACTTTTTATTGTTAGCATTACTACTTTACTATTAGACTTGACACTATTCAACTATTTTCAGTGTCCATCTTTTCTCCACAAATAAAAAAACTAATAAATGAACAAAGAAGAAACAAAGGCTTAGATTCCCTGAGAATAAAAATCACCCATAGAATCAGTTGATACAAGAGAAAACAAAGCATGGGCCATGTAGGCCAAGTAGTAATATTAGTAACAAAAGTTGCTCGTTCCTTTACTAGCTAGTAAGTACACTTGTTACCTTCACCAAAACTTTGGTCTTTTTCTATATGCTTAACTCAAATTTAACATTTTAATTAAGAACCTTTCAAATACTTTAGAAGAAATTTGATAACAAACACATTTCTTTTTAAAAGTATAAAATTTCAAAGAATTGCAAATGTTAATCACACGAATTTTTTTAATTTATTTTTAAAGACTAATATGTCTATTGTTTAAGAAATACTGTAATATATTGATGTTTATGATTTTTAAAGAATAATGTAAAATTTTGTGTTATAAGAGTTTAATTTGTATGATCTTTATCAATATTAAACTTGATGATTTCATCGTAAACATTTTTGTCACTGCCACAACACATGCATGCATAATTTCATATAAATAATTGTTATTTATACAATTTAGCACATTTTGTAAAAAAAAAATTAGCACATTCAATCTAAATACAAAATTGCAAAAATATGTACTAATAATTAAGGATACCAAACTCATTACTTATTTAAATAAATAAATTGAATACATAAATAATTAATCCAGATTAATAGCATCTAAAATGTATGATATGATTTGATTTAAAAAAACACAAAATAAACTAAAATATATCATTTTTATAGACATGAAACAATTTGAATGAGGTTCTAAGATAATTATGGATGACCTATAAATATTTAACGTATATAATTATATATTCAAGTCTTTAACGATCGATACTATTAATTATATTAGAACAATTTTATGTTATTGAACTATACATTCAAGAATAACTAAAATATAACATGATAAAAAATCTTAATTTTTAAATAAGATTTTGAAATCCTTGACATGTATTACCAAGAAAAGAAAGTAATTTTTTATTTATGATTTAACTAAAATACATTTACAATGTATTTTATATATATATATATATATATTATCATACAGTCATATTCACTTTTATAAGAATAATGTTACAAATCATATACAAGGAAATTAAATTTGTAATTTATTGATAATATCAATCATGAAAATTAAAGTCATTTCTTTATCAAGCACTTTAATTGAGAAGGACATAATGGACATTGCTATGCACTGCAGAGTCATTATTCTTACATGAAGAACTGAAACACCATATATAATTCCACGTGTTAATATTGTCGTTAATCGTAACTGTCCAAGTGTAAGGTAAACAACTGAATCTGTGTGAGATTGTAACAGAAATTCACAGTTTATAAGTTGAAGCTCCGAATATTTTTCTGTTGCCAAGTCTTCACCTCTGATTCTCTCGAATCTCATCACCTCAATGAAGATTGCCTCCATCTTCACCAAGGCTTTCCACAGCTTCCCTTCATGCTACAAGCTTGTGCTACTCTGCACTCTAAGGTTATCATCATATCATCATTATTACAAATCAATCTATTTTCTGCCTTTGTCTGTTTCTTTTTATGACGTACTCTTTTATCACCAATGTATAATGGATTGATGAAAAGTGGAACAATTTCAAAGAAATGGAAATTAAGCCTTGATAACCTCAGCTCGCCGGCTCCGGCCGTACTTCCAAAGTCATCAAATCGTGGTCAAGACCGACTATCCCATCAAACAGATACTTCGGAAGCCTGATCTTGCAGGTCAGATGACAGCTTGGTCAATCGAACTATCCGAGTACGGAATCAAGTATGAAAGCCGAGGAGCGTTGAAAGCACAATGTCTTGCCGATTTCATAGCCGAGCTTACGCCTAGCACCCCATTGGAGGATCAATGTTGGATTTTACACGTCGATGACTCGTCTAATACCAGGGGCAGTGGTGCCAGAATTATCCTTGAAGGCCCGGACGATATGATGCTTGAACTTGCAATTAAATTTGACTTCCGAGCTACTAACAACCAGGCAGAGTATGAAGCTCTACTTGCAGGTTTAAGGCTCGCAAAAGATGTTGGTGTTAAGAAGCTCAGATGTTGTAGTGATTCCAAATTGATTACCGAGCAAGTCGGAGGAAGTTACCAAACAAAAGAACCTCAGCTGCAAAGGTACAACCTTATGGTGTCTCATTTGACCTCTTCTTTTGACCATTTTCAAATCAAACATGTTCCAAGAGCACACAATGTTAGAGCTGACCTTTTATCCAAGTTAGCCAGCACCAAACGCCCAGGACAACACAAAACAATTATTCAGGAGACGATTAGTGCACCAAGCTATGATTCTGTAACAGTTTTGGCCAACAATCCTGGTCAGTCTAGTTGGATGTCCAACATTCGGCAATATCTCACAGACGGTACTTTACCGAGTGACAACCAAGTTTCAAATTGAAATTAACCTCGACTCATACTTGGATGAGTTGAATAACATTGGCTCAAATTTGGCCAAAGTTTTGAATTAAAGATAACATCGACCCAGATTTGGGTGAATTTATTCATTATCGGCTCAGACTTGGCCGAGTTTCGAGTCAAAGATGATATCGACTCAGATGTTCATTATTGGCTCAGACTTAGCCAAGTTTCGAATTAAAGATAACGTCGACCCAGATTTGGACGAATTCGTTAACATCGGCTCAGATTTGGCCAATTTTTAAGTGTAATGAATTAAAAGTTAGCAACAAGTTAAAGCGCGAATTGAAAAAATTGGAAGGCAATAAAAGAGAAGAAATAAAATTGGAAGAAGAGAGAACTTGTAATATTGAGTTATATGTGCATTACATCTCTCTGGTTGACCTCAGGTATGCCTCGTTAAAACCTCTTCAGCCAAAACCCTTCTTTTTTACTGGGAAAAAAGACTGAAGTAGGAAAAAGAGTACATTACCTGGGTTTACACATTTCAACTAAAATAAAATTTCAAATGGGTGGCGTTCCAAGTTCTAGGAAGAACTTTGCCACTGAGCTCGGCTAGTCTATACGCTCTATTTTGTAGGAATTCTAGGATGCGAAAAGGACCTTCCCAATTGGCTGCGAACTTTCTTGCTGAGGTATCTTTCCTAGCGTCGCCTGTGGCCCTCAAGACGAGATCGCCCTCATGAAAGGATCTCGGTTTGAGCTTCGAGTTGTACCTCCGTGATGCTCGAAGTTTGCATGCTTCTTCTTGAACTCGGGCATGTTCCCTTGTTTCATCAAGTAAATCTCTGTCCAAGCTCAGTTGTTCTCCATTTTGGGACTCGGTAAATGTTAATCTTTTGTGACTCGGCTCGCCAACTTGAACGGGTATCATTGCATCGGAGCCATAGGTCAACCTATAGGGAGTTTCTTGAGTGGTGGTCTGTGGTGTGCAATGATATGCCTAAAGAACACTAGGTAACTCTTCAACCCACTCTCCTTTAGAAGATCCTAGCCTCTTCTTGAGTTCACGGAGAATCACTTTATTTGCTGCCTCAGCTTGGCCATTTGTTTGTGGGTGTTCTACTGAGGTGACTTTATGCTTGATTCCGAGTTGCTTCAAGAATTGCTCAAAAATTTTATCTACAAATTGCTTGCATTGTCTGTGGTGATTGCTTGAGGTAGGCCATACCTGCAAATGATTTTCTTCCACGTGAACCGCTGCACATTGGTTGCTGTAATCCGAGCTAAAGGTTCAGCTTCAATCCACTTTGTGAAATAATCAATCCCTACAACCAAAAATTTCAATTGGCCTTTGGCAATTGGGAAAGGACCGAGTATGTCCATACCCCACCACGCAAAGGGTCACGCTGATTGCATTGAGTGTAGTGCTGTTGCGGGTAACTGATGCACGTTGCCAAATTTCTGACAAGCTTGACATTTTTGTACATATGCTTTACAATCCGATCTCATAGTTGGCCAATAGTAGCCAGCTCAGACCACCCTTGCAGCCATGGACCGAGCTCCAGAATGCATGCCACAAATGCCTCTATGGATCTCACCCATTACGTACTCAGCTTGATCCGAGGTAAGGCACTTTAAAAGGGAGACTGAGAATCCCCTTTTGAACAACTCACCAGCTTCGAGTGTGAAATGGCAAGATTTGGCTTTGACCTTTGAAGCCTCAACTTTGTCACTCGGTAAAGTACCGTCTGTGAGATATTGCCAAATGCTTAACATCCAACTGGACTGACCAGGATTGTTAGCCAAAACTGCTACAGAATCATAGCTTGGTGCGCTAATTGTCTCCTGGATAATTGTTTTGTGTTGTCCTGGACGTTTGGTGCTGGCTAACTTGGATAAGAGGTCAGCTCTAACATTGTGTGCTCTTGGGACATGTTCGATCTGAAAATGGTCAAAAGAAGAGGTCAAATGAGATACCATAAGGTTGTACCTTTGCAGCTGAGGTTCTTTTGTTTGGTAGCTTCCTCCGACTTGCTCGGTAATTAATTTGGAATCGCTACAACATCTGAGCTTCTTAACACCAACATCTTTTGTGAGCCTTAAACCTGCATGAAGAGTCTTCCAGCAACCGCACAGGTTTGCTATGCCCATATGGATTCACCAGTAACTGAAAGCTTGCTAGTGCACATTCCTTTGTAGTCAAATATGTTATGCATGGTGAGGAAGTTTTGATGTGTTGGCATGTCCAGGTTGCTGCACAACAGGGTACATATCTGGCTAGATGCTTTAACAGCAGGGATCAGTGTGCAGAGAATCCTGAAGGTCCAATAAGATTTGGAAAATCCGGACGTCATAAGTTTCGTCCCTTCAGGTAAACCATATTGTATATAACGATAACATCACAATATCAACTATATAAGTGAGATAATATCCTTCAGAAAATGTAAATTTTAGTGTCTTTTATGGTGACTGATAAAATCAATAAAGTGCTTAGATAGTAGATTTATGTTATGCTATGAAGCACTGATACTTCAATTTGCTTCACGTATCCGTATCTGATACGATATTCTTAGATACTTCACTCATACGTGTCAATGAAGTATCATAGCTTTTAAAAATATTATGAAAATTTTATTCAATTTTGATACTCTCAGATATTTTACCAATACTTATTGGTGATACGTATCGATAAAGTATTCAAATTTTTAAAAAATTATGAAATATCCATTATAGCTAAATAAGATATATAAACATGTTTAATATAGTAACATAAAAATATTAGTCCTTGATAATATGTAAAAGAAAATTGTCTTCTATATAGATAATTTTAAGAAAGGAATGAAATTAGTAATATTATTTCTATTTGTAAATAATAAAAAGTAATTTATGATGAAATGATTTATAATTTCTTTATTTTTAGTAATGTACAATAAATATGTTTTTTTAATTTGGATTTGTAAAATAGTAATTATATATTTAATGTTTATAAATTTTGATCAAAATTACAAGTACACATTTATTATATTGTATGAACATTGATACACATGATGATACGTATCTTATAAGTATCGTATCCTATATATTTAAATTAATCCTATCGCCACATCGTATCGATGCATCATAGATGTTATGACATCCTCGTGAAAATACTTATCCACCCATTCCTACAATGAGATACTGTCTTAAAATGTTAGAGCATCGTTTGTAGAGGGAATCAATCCAACACCAATGTTCATGAACATTAAAATGGTATCAAGTGCAAAAATGTACCTGAAATTTTGGTTGCATATTACCATAAAGGTATAAGCATTTTGGGCAATTTGCTCCTCTTGGTGGAGAGCAGGCAGCTGCAGAACTTCCTGGAGACTGGGTTTCCATGGGTCACAGCACTCAATGGCTCTGGTATTCTATATATGCAAGGTAATGAGTAATAACTAATGATCAATGCTGTCAAGTTCACATAATTGGCCTCAATATTTGTGTATAATGCCTTCTTTAATATATTTGTTCCACTCTCAGCAAACAAGTGAGCTGGCGCACAAGGGTGTTAGTCATCTCAGATTGGACAAGAAGATTCGTCTTTGGTAGAGATTCTAGTCGTATATAAGTCACCAGAAGCAGATTACAATATATTTTGAGTTGATATGTTTCTGTTATTTCTTGTACCAAATATCCATCATGTAGTATTATGATGACTTGAAGTTATATCTTCAATTGGAGAGTTTGAGAATAAAAGCCTCAAGGGATGACTTTTTTCTCTGCCAAACACATTATGCAATTTCCCAGTTGAAACATGAAAATATTGCAACTGTCAATATTATTAACCTGGAAGTGAAAGAAGTATTATAGAAATTTCTATAAAATAATATTTTATACATGCAAAACTATATAAAATTTATAACTATTTCTGTATAATGTCATCAAAATTTTATAATTAGCTTTGTACATTTTTGTGATAGATTGAGGTCAGAAAATGTGTTGGTAGAAGCAGGTTGTGCTTGGTTGTATACGAGAAAGAAACCAGCATCCCTTATGGACGCAAACACATTAACCATTTCATCCACATGGCCTGTATGACCCAAGATATCTAGAACCATATTATATGTGAACAAGTCCAGACCAAAACTCCGTCTTTTGAGATGATCAAATAGCACCAAGGACTTTTCTTTCTGTCCACATTTGGCAAAGGCAAAAATGATCCTGTTGATGAAGGTTGATCTGCCAAAACGTGTTATCTCCCATATTTCGTCAAGAAATCTGAGTAGCTCCACACAATCATTTACTTTTGTGAAAGCCTGGGCAAATTTGAGGCATGAAGTTGCACTTGGGGATTTATAAGACAACAATAATTTCTTGAAAACTTGACAAGAAAGGTCAATGTCATTCTTCTGACTAGCCTCCACTAGTATGAGATTATACACATCAGGGGTGAGAACAATGTTCTTATCACGTAAAGTTTGAAGCATTTTACTGGCAGCTGAAAGATTTCCAGCCTTGCACATCTTATCGATATATGTGTAATAGACTTTCACACCGGATGCTCGTGCATTTTCAACAGTGGCAAGAAATTCTTTAAGGACTTCATTTGTTACTCTCTCTATGCCAGGAGATGCCTCTGTCGAATAAATCCGAAAACTGCCAAGTGCCAATCGATTAACTTTTAATGGTTAAAAATTAAAAACAATCAGATTCAAAAGACTTTGGTTGTGATGGGAATCATACAGTTCAGTATTGTATTGACAGTCATAATCATTTTGACTAAAAAAACATTTTTTGAGTTAATTAATTGTTCATTCTTCATAAATAAGTTTAAATCAATGATAATACAAGACAGCTCCCTGTGACTGAAAACTGCTTATCCAAAAGACATCCACTTATATATTGCTTCTAAATGCCGAACATTAAAAAAAATGAGATTAGACCATAAAAAAGTAAGCCGACTATGGACAACTAACTACTTAGGTGCTAAAGCTAAACTAAAATAAGTTGCCACAGTGTAGAACTTGATAAGTCAGGCTCAATAAAAATAAGAAAATCTGTACAGACCTATTAAAAAAAACTAAAGCAAAATGCCATGATAAAACAAGTTTGAACCTCAACAACAACAACAATAACCACTCAACTTACAGTGGAATTCAAAGTTATTATGCATAGCAAATTACAAAGGCAGTAAGTAGTATAATGATAATCATCACTCATGAGTGGAGATTCTGAGACCCACCCACCATAAGAACTTTACTTTATATACTTTCATTCAAAGCAGAGAAAAGAATTAGAAAACAAATGGAGTGAAGAAATTGATCTAGGAGGGGTACCGAATGGTTGTCGAAAGAGCAGAGCAGAGTTTCAAGTGAAAACGGAAGAGCCCTGTTGTACCTCCTAACATCATTCGCAGATCAAATCAGATTACCTCGTTTGTATTTTTCATTTTATGGTGCACACACAAACAACTCAAGAAATATTGCTTTTTAGTCCTCTGACCGATTTCACAATAGGGACTCAAAGTTTGTGTTTTTACAGAAAAGCCCCTGTATAAAACCTCGTAATTTGGGTGCAAAGGCGGCCACGTCCATTATTCAATCCCGATTTGTGCATCGAAGGAACTTCTCTGAACAGTGAATCAAACAGCTGAATTTGTGTTTGGATGAAAAATTTTATAAATTTAAAGAATTTTAAATTTTTTGTATTTAAATTACTTTGATTTTAATTTTTATTATTCTTAAAATATTTTGTTTGGACGAGTCAATTCAAGTTTATTAAATTTTAAATTGTTAAGTTAAATATAATAATTTGATTCTATCATAGTAAAATTATATATAGGACCTCATTTGGACGTCATTCCACACATTTGTACACTTTTTCCAGACTTCTGGACCCTCTGGCTGAGTATTCTGGGGTTTTTGAGCAGTGTTCTACCCTAGAAATCTCTCCAAGAGCTTTGACCATGAAATTCCCGGGGACCAATGGACAAATCATAGCTATCAAAGCCAATCAACAGTTAGCAAGGAAATGTTACGCCGAAAGTCTCAAGATCACTCCCACCAAACCTCAACTCAGAACGACAAGTTCAACCACAGTGGCCCATGTTGATAAGAACGAGATGGTCGAGCTGGATCCCCGAGTTGACATGTACGACCACCGACCTAGTCCTGTTGATGATTTGCTAGAGTTCCAAATTGGTAAAAGGCCGGGATAATGCACCAAAATTGGAAAGCACACAGAGCCCGAGCTCCGAGGTAAAATCATGTCAATTTTAATTGAAAATGCTGACCTTTTTGCCTGGAGCAGTGCAGATATGCCAGGGATAGACCCCAGTTTTATTTGCCACAAATTAGCCATTTACAGAGAAGCAAAGCCAATATCTCAAAAGAAAAGAAAGATTGGTGGCGAGAGAAGAGAAGCTGTTAAAATTGAGACTCAAAAAATTGTTAAATGCAGGATTCATCAGAGAGATTACATACACCACTTGGCTAGCTAATGTCGTAATGGTCAAGAAATCTAACGGCAAGTGGCGTATGTGTGTTGACTATACAGATCTGAATAAAGTCTGTCCAAAAGATGCATACCCTTTACCTAGTATTGACAGATTGGTGGATGGAGCCTCGGGTTATGCTATGCTGAGCTTCCTAGATGCCTACTCAGGCTATAACCAGATCCTTATGTATCCCCCAGATGAAGAATACACTGCTTTTATCACAGAACAAGCCAACTACTGCTATCATGTCATGCCATTTGGACTTAAGAATGCTGGAGCAACATATCAAAGACTACTGGACAAGGTCTTCGCTGACCAGATCGGCCGTAATCTTGAGGTTTGCGTTGATGACATGGTCATCAAAACGAAGTCAGCCGTAGATCACGCCCAAGACCTCGAGGAGATCCTCCAACAAGTCAGAAAGCATAACATGAGATTAAATCCTGAAAAATGTGTTTTTGGAGTTCAAGGTGGGAAATTTTTAGGATTTATGATTACTTGCCGAGGGATAGAAGCAAATCCAGACAAGTGTCAGGCGTTGATCAACATGAGGAGCCCCCAAAATCATAAAGAAGTACAGAGGTTGGCGGGCAGGCTCGTCAGTTTATCTCGGTTCATCCCCAAGATGGCAGAAAAGGCCAAGCCTATTTTTAGCTTGCTCAAGAAACCCAAGGATTTTTGCTGGGATACCCGATGTGAACAAGCTTTTTCGGGTTTCAAAAGTTTTCTGAGTTCACCTCCTATACTAACCAAATCTCAGGATCGTGCTGATCTCTTGTTGTACCTTGCTGTTGCCGATAATGCAATCAGTGCAGCACTTATGCAAGCCGATGGTAAGAAACAAATTCCCATTTACTTTATCAGTCGTGTTTTGCAGGCAACCGAGCAGAGGTATCAAACTATTGAGAAACTGATCTTAGCCTTGATAACCTCAGCTCGCCGGCTCCGGCCGTACTTCCAAAGTCATCAAATCGTGGTCAAGACCGACTATCCCATCAAACAGATACTTCGGAAGCCTGATCTTGCAGGTCAGATGACAGCTTGGTCAATCGAACTATCTGAATACGGAATCAAGTATGAAAGCCGAGGAGCGTTGAAAGCACAATGTCTTGCCGATTTCATAGCCGAGCTCACCCCTAGCGTCCCATTGGAGGATCAATGTTGGATTTTACACGTCGATGGCTCGTCTAATACCAAAGGTAGTGGGGCCGGAATTATCCTTGAAGGCCTTGATGATATGATGATTGCACTTGCAATTAAGTTTAATTTCCGAGCTATTAACAACCAGGCAGAGTATGAAGCTCTACTTGCAGGTTTAAGGCTCACAAAAGATGTTGGTGTTAAGAAGCTCAGATGTTGTAGCGATTCCAAATTAATTACCGAGCAAGTCGGAGGAAGCTACCAATGACTTTCTTCTTCTTCATCTTCACTTGAAGATGGAGAAGTAGTAGCTTCATCTTGGCTACTATAAATGTCTTGGCCCCTCAATATCATAACCTTCTTGTTAGGGCATTGAGAAGCAATGTGGCCTCTCCCAAGACATTTAAAGCACTTTATATCACTAGTTTTGGTGCTAGTGTGTGAGGTGTTTTTCTTTTCTTTTTCTTCTTTTGCTTTACCTTTATCTAGATTTTTGGAGGAGTCAAAAGTATTTTTCTTTTCAAAAGTTTTACCCTCCCTCTTGTAGTGATTTTTGGAATAAGAAGATGAGTATGAGCTTGTTTTGAAATTCTTTCTCAAATTTTGTTGTTCAACCTTGATACAAAGTTGAACCAAATCATTCAAATCTCTGTAAGGTAAAAGCTCAACCTTATCTCTTATTTCAAAAGTGAGACCACTCAAAAATCTAGCAATGGTAATGTCTTCTTCTTCTCTAATGCCAGCCCTCATCAAATATAACTCCATGGTTTGTCTATATTCCTCAACAGTCATGTTTTTTTGATGGAGTCTTTGGAGCTAATTGATAAGCTCCCTAGTATAATATGAGGTAATGTGTTTCCTCCTCTAAGCACTCCTTAACTCATTCCAAAAAAGTCATGAAAATCTTGCAAAGTCTTTTAAAATCCGCAGGATTTTTTTTAACTAAAAAAGTCCTTTAAAATCCTAATCCAATACACTCCCCTTAGTCTCACTTTTATTTTCGGTTCCAATTTGGTCCCAAACTAATTAATTGGTTTCAATTAGGTCCCTAATAAATTAATTGGTTTCAATGTGGGGCTTCCGTCCAAATTTCTTTAACAGTGTTAACTGTTGACCACGTGGATGCCACATAGATGCATAGGTGGATGCCACGTGGATGCCAATTTTTTTGAAAATACCTGGAACCGGAACGGCCCGTTTTGAAACCAGAACAAACCGTTCTGGATGCACTCTTGGTGTGTTAAATTTGCATCTGAAACGGGCCGTTTCAGATGCAAAATTAACACAACAAGAGTATAGCAGAACGGGTCATTCTGAAACCAGAACGGCCCGTTCTGGATTCAAAACGGCCCGTTCCAAAATTGAGAATAGAATATTATTTATTAATTTTATTAAAAAATATAATAATTTTGAAAAATATTTTTTTATGGTAAAAATTTTAAAATTACTTTTTTTTATAAAATACAATTATCTTATAAATAGAGTAATAACTTTTTCTTTTTCTCTTTCTGTCTGAAGAAATATTTAAGTGTCACTTTATAATTTTTTGCAACTTATTTAAAATTAGAGGAATAAAATGATAAAAATTAATAGGATAAACATAATAAAATTATTAATTTATTTTCTTTTAGTGTCCTCTAAATTTTTACATTCATTTAAAACAAAAATATTTTATATGTTAATTTGAATTAATTTAACGAAGTATCATATGATTTTTAATTTTTTAAAATTTTTTATAAATTTGATCTATACATGAAAAACTTTTTAATTTAACAATTAAATTCTTAAAAATTTGATATAGAACATTAATTATTAAATAAAATAAATCTATCAAGACTTATTCTTGAATTAAGTAAATCTTTTCTTCATTAAAAATGAAGATAATTTTACCATAAAATAAAAAACAATAAAAAAAATATTAATATATTTATTATATTAGATATAACAACATAATTAAAATATAACTAATAATATATATTTTATAAAATTATTAATATTTTATATATATAAAAAAAAAAAAGAATGAAAAAAATTTTAGTGGGAGCAAGTGCCCTCACTATGATTAACTTAGATCTGTCCCCGCATATAGTTGTGTGGTAAAATGTTAGTCCCGTGTATCCTCTACTTTTACTTCAGGTTCTTCCTCTTCAAGAAGAGGTTGTTGTTGGAGTACATCGTTAATGACTTCAAGGAAAAATATCATGTCATTTCATCCTTTACTGGTTTCAATTAGGTCCCTAATAAATTAATTAGTTTCAATGTGGGACTTCCGTCCAAATTTCTTTAACGGTGTTAACTGTTGGCCATGTGGATGCCACGTGGATGCCAATTTTTTTGAAAATACTTGGAACCAGAACGACCCGTTCTGGATGCAAAATTAACACATCAAAAGTGCAACCAGAACGGCCTGTTCTGGTTTCAGAACGGGCCGTTCTGGTTCTAGTTGTTTTCAAAAAAATTTGTCATCCACGTGACATCCACCTATGCATCTACGTGGCATTCACGTGGCGAATAGTTAACTCCGTTTAAATAATTTGGACGGAAGTCCCACATTGAAACCAATTAATTTATTAGGGACCAAATTGAAACTAATTAATTAGTTTAGGACCAAATTAAAACAAAAAATAAAAGTGTGACTAAATTGAAACAACCAATTATTATAAGGGATAAAAATAAATTTTTAGCAAAAAAATAAAAATAAAAATTGATAGATGGATCAAGGGAGGCAGGTATTCACAGTGGACCTTCTGGAACGATATGCGGCAAAAGGGCATGGAGTTATCACTTGCATGGCTGCTGGGAATGATGTCATTGTCATTGGAACCAGCAGAGGATGGGTCATCAGGCATGATTTTGGGGTTGGCAATTCATTTGGTAAAGTTTCAATTTTTCAGCTTTCTATTCCTTCAACAACAATACGCATTTTCCATGAATTGCCATTTGACATCCCATTCATATGGGTGTTTCAAATTTAGGAACTTTTTTATATTTTGAATGTCAATCTCGGGGTTTAATTGTAATTCAACACAGGTATAGAATACGGATCACTGTTTGAATGTTTTGTTTTAGAGTTCTTGATAGTCGTGTATGCTTGAGCTTAATCTGGGATTTGTAGCTGTTTCTTTTGTTTTGATATCCTGAGTCTGATATCTTGTTGTCTGTTTGGAGTATAGAGATTGATCTCACTATGGGTCGTCCTGGGGACCAGTCAATTCATAGGGTTTTTGTGGATCCTAGAGGGAGTCACTGTATTGCCACTGTAATTGGTCCTGGAGGTGCTGAAACTTTCTATACATGCCAAATGAACCAAGCCACGAATTTTGAGCAAGCTGAAGGTCTTATTGTAAATGCTGTTCCATGGAACAAGCAACAGATAATCGAAGGTAGTTAGTTGGTTACTTATTTGGTTTATGCCCATTGCTGGTTGATTTATTTACAACCAAGACTTTCTCATATTCATTTCTGTTTGAGGTTTTGATTAAACCTTTTCAATGCAGTTTCCACAAAGGAAGTTATCCTTGGTACAGAAAATAGTCAACTTCATGGGCTGGCAGGTAGTGGTGGACGAAGTGGAAGCGAGAATGTAGAAGGACCTATGCTAGCGGATGAAGTAGAAGCGAGAATGTCCATTTGAGTAACTAAACATTGGTAAGCATGGTTGTCAATCTCTAGTGATAACTCGTAAACTCGTACGAGTTTACAAGAGCTTACCTGTACAACTCGGAGGTAAACTCGTTTTTTAGTGAACTCGGAGCAATCTCGGTGAACTCAGGTAAACTCGTGTAAACTCGCAAGACTACCTCCGATATTAAGAGATCACCGTTTTTTTTTCCACTTACACAAAACGCACGTTTTGTGTTGTGTGTTAGGGCACTTTCACTCCAGACCAGACCTCTCCTACTCTCCTCTCCACTCCAGACCTCCGCAGCGCCTCTTTCACGGCTCTCCTCCTTCGCGCCTCACCTCCTTCGCGCTTCACCTCCTTCGCGTGCCTCACCTCCTCCGCGCGCCTCACCTCCTTCGCGCGACACCTCCGCGCGTCTCCTTTCCTCTCCGCGCGACACCTCCGCGAGTCTCCTCTCCTCTCCGGCGAATCTCCGCCGATCTATCCTCTCTGACAGTGGCTCTGTCTTCCCCGACATCTGCAGATCTGTCTTCTTCTAAGAGGGAAGGCAGCGGCGACGGCTTGAGGAAGGGTTGCATTGCAGGAAAAATAATTAGGGTTGGAATATGGGCCAAATGGGCCAAGTTTTATTTTTTGTTTTGATTTGGTTAAGAGGGTTTTTACTTCATTATTTTTTTTAGAAAGTAACCTCTCTTTATTAATTATTAATTATTATTATTATAATTTAGATAATATTTTAAGTAATACAAAATTTAATATAAGACCTTAAATATTTTGTTTTCTTAATTTTTTTATTTTGTTTAACTACTATAAATTTTTATTATTAAAAATATTTAATGTATAAATAGTTATATTTTTATTTTTATATGTATATTATTAATTATTTGTATTATAAATTATCTAATATTTATATATATATATATATAAATAAATTAGAATAGTGTAATCCTGCTATATTTAATAAATTATTTTATTATTAATATAATTTGTTATTTTACTCTTTAATATAAAGTTAAAATGTTTAATTATTATATAATTTTTAATTATTTTTATAATTTTGTTTATTGAGTAATTTCTTACGAGTTTACGATACGAGTCTACAAAACTTTCACGAGATTATGTAAACTCTCGAGATTGACAACCTTATTGTTAAGACTCGAAAATCCAAGGTCCCTCCGCAAGGTTTGTCCACGGAAGGTGCAATATGCTTGCTTGCGTTATGTGAATAACATTGCTATGTAAAAGACTATTGTCCATGTTCCTTGCCGTGTGTATGGTTGTGATCGCGAATGTTATATTATTTTTTTTATTATTTACATTCTGTTATGCGGTTGGCTCTAGTTTTCTGATTGCCAAGGAATTTGCCTCAATCGCCACTGTAAATCATGTACCTTGTCGCAACTTTCGGTTGCATACATTTTTGTTCCTGCAAGGCATTCTCGAAAGTTTATTTAATTTCTTATATATGTAGTGTTCTTCCTTTCTTTTACTGAATAAAACTTGCATCAATTGCATGCAATTTTTTACGTGTTTTTATACTATTGTTTAATTAAACTAAAAATGCATCTTAATAACCTATGTTGATGTTTAATGTAGATTTTTATTACACAAATCATCAAAATAAAGCTTCAGTATCAAAAGCACCCTTTAAAATACGGATGACAATCACATGTCCCCTATTTGTGTCTCATTTCCTGTCCCACCAATCAACAAAAGTCATGTCAATTATATAGCCACGTCATTTTAATTTAAGTTAGAATAAAAAATTAACAGAGTTATTAACTCTGTCTCTTTGTCACTAAACCTCTCACTCAAACCTACCAACAGACTTCCATGCTACCTGTTCATCTCTAAAGTGTAGCTTGTCTTAAAAAATGTAACCAATTCTCATGTTCTGTTACATTTTTTTTATTCTCCTATTCTTCCTTTTGTTTATTCCTTTTTCACGTAATATTTCTTTTTATTATTGATTATTTTGCTTGTTGTGTGTGCCCTCCATCATCATTAGCCCGATGCTATCGTAATTATTACTCTCTGGCTAACATCTGCCCTTGTTTTTGAGCTCTTCATAATGTAAACACATTCTTCCGCAAACAGGTTCAAACATTAATACCTGGAAAATGAAAATCCCACACTTGTAGGCTTTGTAATTCTTATCACCCTCTACATTGTGGAACCCCTGTGCACCCCTCGTCTGTATACAAACAAAAGTAATATTCAAACCTAAAAAAGAAATCATAATTCAAGAAAATCACAAATTAAAAAAATAATCAAAGCAATAATATGAATTAAAGCAGCGAGAAAAGGAAAGTAATAATATGAAACACCTCAACAAGAAAAGCGGCGAGAGGTTTAGTGGTGAAGAGTGAAGGAGGAGGGTGTTGTTGTTGCTGCCTGCAATTACTACCCACCTCGATAACCGTTCAATTCTGCCTACAGTTACTACCCTTTTCTTTTTGGATCGTTTTTTCTTTTCACAACTAAGCATATGGATCAAAATAAAACAGATGGAATTAACTCCGTTAGTTTTTTATTCTAACTTAAAATTAGAATGACGTAACTATATAATTGACATGACTTTTATTGATTGGTGAGACAGGAAATGGGACACAAATAAGGGACAGGTGATTTTCATCCTTAAAATACACCCACTTTGGTTATTAAATTATTAATCTTGTTTTAATTGATACCAGAATTAGAATACTGGTTTCGCTAAATTTTAGGTCTTGGTAAGACTTAAGATCACGGATCATGTATAATAATTTACTGTAATTGGTCCTGGAGGTGCTGTAACTTTCTATACTCATGCCAAATGGACCAAGCCACGAATTTTGAGCAAGCTGAAGGTCTTATTGTAAATGCTGTTGCATGGAACAAGCAACAGATAATCGAAGGTAGTTAGTTGGTTACTTATTTGGTTTATGCCCATTGCTGGTTGATTTATTTACAACCAAGACTTTCTCATATTCATTTCTGCTTGAGGTTTTGATTAAACCTTTTCAATGCAGTTTCCACAAAGGAAGTTATCCTTGGTACAGAAAATATGAGCTGGCAGGCAGTGGTGGACGAAGTGATGGATGAAGTAGAAGCGAAATAACTAAATAAGACTCGAAAATCCAAGGATCCCTCCGCAAGGTTTGTCCACGGAAGGTGCAATATGCTTGCTTGCGTTATGTGAATAACATTGCTATGTAAAAGACTATTGTCCCTGTTCCTTGCAGTGTGTATGGTTGTGATCGCGAATGTTATATTATTATTTTTTATTTACATTCTGTTATGCGGTTGGCTCTAGTTTTCTGATTGCCAAGGAATTTGCCTCAATCGCCATTGTAAATCATGTACCTTGTCGCAACTTTCGGTTGCATACATTTTTGTTCCTGCAAGGCATTCTCGAAATTTGTTTAATTTCTTATCTATGTAGTGTTCTTCCTTTCTTTTACTGAATAAAACTTGCATCAATTGCATGCAATTTTTTACGTGTTTTTATACTATTATTTAATTAAACTAAAAATGCATCTTAATAACCTATGTTGATGTTTAATGTAGATTTTTATTACACAAATCATCAAAATAAAGCTTCAGTATCAAAAGCACCCTTTAAAATACACCCACTTTCTCTTTCTACCAAATTGTGCTCTATGAAACAAAACAAGGAAGTCAAACCCTAACTGCACCTTGCATTCAGATACAAAGTGATCAATGGTTATTAAATTATTAATCTTGTTTTAATTGATACCAGAATTAGAATACTGGTTTCGCTAAATTTTAGGTCTTGGTAAGACTTAAGATCACGGATCATGTATAATAATTTACTGTACCTGGACTTTTTTTTAACATAATCGAGTCTTCGAATGAACTAAAGGTGGTAAATGTCTAAAGAACTTGCGATTCTTAGTAGCAGATATACGCTCAAATTTTGCCCAAAACTAATTTGCAAAGGCCCGTTTCTTCAACCCAACCTCTGTCCTGAGAAATACAACATACTTCAGAAATTCCAAAGAAATTGCAATACCCTAGAGATAATTGGCAAAGCCATGACTTTAATTGGAAGAGATTGTGTTAAATTTTAGCCCATGACGATAATAAAAGGGAAGCAGAGTTTGCATAATTTTAGGAATTCTTATTAATTTCATATTTTCGTCATCATCATCATCATCCACCATCGGAGTGGGAAAAACCCATTATCTTCTCTACACATACATATATACAAAACCACTTTATTTACAAGATCGGAACATTCGAGTATTTCTCTACAACCGAGTCACACAATCTGACTCGGTCAAAGCCAACTCGGATCCGAAAACCCGACCCGGGGTAACTTTTCCGGCGACTCATAAATCTCCACCACCGTCCTAATCGCCACGCGTGGCTCAGCCCTGGCCCCAGCAACTCAAGTACATGACTTTCCTGAGAGAGTCATCGGCTTGCCTCACCCTGTTATCGACGTCGGAGCTCCCCGCCACCGCTCCGGCGACGTCCGATCCGACCACGCCGGACAAGGGGCGGAGGTCCGACAGGGGCCCGCCGGAGAAGAGGCGGCTCCGGTTGTGGTGGATGGAGGTGAGCGCCGTCTTGCACTTGTGGCCGGGGTCGGTGTGGCCCTGCGCCACCGCCACCGTCGCCGCCATCCAAACGCGGTTCAAGTAACTCATCTTCTTTCGAGTTTTTGTTTTTGTTTGTTTTGCTTCTTCTTTTGTTTGCAACACACAACTGAGAGGAAACGTTAGTAGTGAAATGAAGCGATGAGGAAGAGTTAATTTATAGAAGAAATAAGAACCACTTGAGATATGATTTTGTGTATAATACTCGTGCTGGTGGGGCCCCTTCTGCACCTAAACTTATCTTTTAGGTTTATTAATACATATTTTAGATTTCGTGAATCATTTTTAATTTTTCTTTAATTGCTGCTGAAGTGGTACTTAGAGTGACATTATTAGGTTAATTAATACATATCTATTAATGAAAGTGTTATCCAAAAATAAATGAAGGAAGGAAAAATTAGTGAAAATAAAAATAGAAAAAGTCAAAAAGTGTAATTAAGGTTTGTAATATTATGGTGAGGATAACAGTTCTATTAGTATGAATGAATGAGTGATGGTTGGAGGAAGCAGGTGGTGAACTTATCCATCCGATGAGACATGATGACTCATCTTTTGTTTCTCCAATCGATCGTTCATTTTCCTGACATGAATGTCGCTTTCTCTTTTTAACTTTTTTCTCTCTCTCTCTCTTCAATTTTTCCCCACTCGTGGGTCCCATCTACTTTGTCTGTTTCCCAGGAAGTGTTGTTGTTTAATGCAGGGGCAATTTTGTCCTCCCATTTTTCACTCTTTTTTAATTAATTTGATTGTACACTTGTCGTGCGTTGAACTGTGGCATTGACACGTTCAAGTTTCTGGGATAATGGGCCTGCGGTCCATTGGTTATGGGCTTTGGAGTGGGCATCACGTGCGGGCGCAGGACCCATACACACTTCCAACTTCATCTAGTCTCTGTCACCACCACGCTGTTACACTTGTCAAACTGTTATACGGAGGTTTACCAGAAAATTCAACACTCCAGGTTAATTGGCATCTATAATGTTAATTATCTATACATTAAAAATATATATAAAACATTTATACTCACAACCAATCAATTTTTTTAATAATATTTATTTTATTTTAATTAAAATAAATAAATAAATAATATAATACTAATAAAAAATTTGATTAGTTATCAATGTAGAATTTTTTTTACACGAATAATATATAGATAATTATTCATAAATTATAAATTATAGTGTATTTTTTTTTTCTTATAAAAAAACCAAGTGTCTTTTACATTTGAATGAACATGTTGAAATACAAGGAAAAGGCTCTACTGATTCAAAATTTTCAAACTGAAATAATTTCACGTTGATTAGTTTATAAAACTCACAATATTTATTATAATGGATGAATTAGGATTAGGATACCTCTTACCCAAATGTTATTGACTGATTCTTAATATTATACTATTTATTATAATAAAATTTCACATTTAATAATAAAATAATTTGCTTTAATTATTATACTACTCATTTTAATTTTTTTTTTAAAAAGTTAAACCTTTAAACAAAAATGATAAAACTATAGTTGCATGATAATATATTGTCTATAAGATAAAATAAAATTATGTAGAAGTCATATATGCATATTTTTTTCATTTTACATTGGTCGTCCAATTTTATTAATATTTTTAATTTAATAAAACAGTTCAATAAATATTTATCTTTCAAAATTAACTTTTTACCTTTCAATTAACTCATTAAAAATTTTATCAAATACGACCTCTCTACTAATTTTTAGAAGTCCTAAATTGTTCAATATATATATGTATACTAATAACTTTATGTTTTTATTTCCTTCTCTTAATAGATTTTTGAAATGCAAATATTACAAGAGTTAACTTCAAAAGGGACATTTTTAGTTTTATGATTCACTGTACCTATCCCAAAACGGAAGTTGGGAAAAGGAATGATTTTTTTTTTTTTTAATCTTCCATCCAACATGTTGGGAATTCATGCAAGACATGATCCTCTCCATTCTTTCTGTATATTTGAAATTTTAAATGTGTCCCAAGCACTTAAATTTCAAAAGAAACGAGCACTAAATAGTTTAACAAAAACACATTAACAATTTTTGTTCTTTTAATTTATAACATATATCTAATCCAAAACTCTACTTCAAATGGCAGAGCTACTGCTCCATGATCAGTGATGGTAACCTCAGGATTAACATCATGATACGCCATTATAATAAGCACTTATATTTTCTACTTTAGAAAAAGAAGATCACTTTTAAGTGGACCTGCCCACTTTGTGTATCTTGAGACATTACCTGTTAAATCAGCATTACTATATTAAAGACATAATGACATGCCTTATAAAAAGATATAAAATGATAGTGACTGCAAACTAATTATCTATTGATTAACTTTCCTGACTGATTCAAACCACTAATCCCTTTTTTAGCCAAAAATAAAATAGTATAAGGTCTCTGATTTCATTTGATCTCCAAGAGATGGAGCCTTGTACATATCGTTTAATAATAAAAAAATTGTAAAATAAAGAATCCTTAGTATTTTTGTTTATGATACTTTTCCAACCAGATATTGAAGACAAAGCATACCTATTTCTGGAATGTTGCTATTTTAATATAATCAAAACAAAGGTGAGATGGGAGATCATTAAAAATGCGCATTCCACTGTTTCCAACTCATAAGGATAGTGACTGCTAACAATTATCTGACTGATTCAATTATCTCTGACTTCATTTGATCTCCAAGTGACGAAGCTTTATACATAGTTTAATAACAACAATAATAGTAGAATCCTTACTATTGTGAACCAAACCAACTAATAAACAAAGAAAAGGGAAATTATGATCTTATAGCTGCCATGGATGCTCCCAACTTTTGTTTTCTCTCACCTGATTAAAAAATGACCAAACAACTAATGGCTTATCAATATACGTAATATTGGAATATCTAAAGTAATATCTATATCTATATCTAAGGAATTTTTTTCGTGTATATAATTTTTTTAAATAACTATTTTACCTTTAAATAATAATAAATAATATTAAAAATTAATTATTTTTACAAACTTAAAAATCAAATCCAAAATTTTAAAGTTTAATGAACAAGCACAACACTAGTTAATTTAAGAGATATTAAAAATTCCTAAACATTTTTAAATAAATATAGAGACACAGAGTATTTTGAACTCACTAATAATAAATTTTATTGATCATCATTCAAAGAGGGAAAAATACAGAGTTATTTTTATTTAATTTTGTCATAAATTATAATTTAATTTCAAAGATATTTTTTATTTTAAGTGATTGTTATATTTAATGATAGATATAATGCATGCATCAAAAATAAATTTAATAATTAATTAAAGATAAAAAAAATAAATTTAACCTTAAATAACTTTAAAAATTAATAATTGTTATTTATATTTAGGAAAAAAAATACAATTTACAGCTAATAACTAGAATAGAAGTAATAACATATATCGCTACATATAATAAAATTTGACTTTGTTAGTTTCAATTGAATGGAATAGACTGAGTTTGTTTGAGCATAAATTTATAAGAATTTTTTAGAATTTTTTCATTAGAAAAAACTCTATTTTTAATAGAGAAGCTTATAAATTTTTTTTAAAACTCATATCTAAACATGTACTATATTGTGTCATTTTTAAAAAAATTAAAAGAAAATTAACTTTTCAAAAATAGAAAAACTAAATTAGATTAATTAAATAAAATGAGATTAAAAAAATAATTTAGCCGTAAAATTAAACTAACTGTACGAGGTAGCTGGCGGGTTCAAGAAAACTTATACAAACACCGTGACATCATCTGTCGTGTGAAGGACATGAGGACTTAGAATTGGGTTGTGAAAATTTCTTGGGTTCCTCGAGAATGTAACTCAGTGGCACACAATCTAACTTGTTGAGTTGCTCGGAACTTGGTTGATATGGTGAAATGGAGAAGTCCTCCTAATTTCGTGTTTATGACCTTAGAAATTGATTCCTTGTCAAGTCTGTAATCTTGTTTTCCTTGTTTTATCTTTCATTAATTTACCAAAAAAACTAACTGTGGCCAATTATAGTACTAATCCACTCGCATTTAACACCACAAACATTGTTGAAAAGAAAAAAAAAACAAATGTTTTTTTCATTAACAATTTTGTTGGCCATAAAATAAAATCACGTAAGACAGATCAGATGAGTGAGGCTGGAATTCAGTTTCAGGGAATACATTTGAAGAACATTAAGGGATCCAAGAAAAGGAAGATAGAAATACTTTACACTGAATCAACACCTTGGACCTGCTGCCGAGCCAGGTATCTTTCTCTTCTTTCTTTCTACACAAGGAGCAAGAGAGCAGGATATGAGAAAAATGGAAGGAAACCATAGAAAGAGTTAAATATCTATGCATTGTAAGTATAAAAATTTAACACTTTTAATCAATTAAAAGTCATGATAAAAATGACTTTTAAGGTAATTGTTCTGGTCACATGAAGCCCTTAGCTGACAGGCATTCAGAAATGAGTCTCACAGGCTAGTTGGTGGTTTATTTAAATCAGGGAACCATCTCTGATTAGAAAGATGGGCTTAACATATGGTGATAAATTGGTTTAATATGACTCGGCCTAAAACTGAGAAGGAACACAGTGCTCCAGCTTCGAACAAAAAGGTAAATAAGGCTAAAAAATGATAATATAATTCACATATAACTCAACCTAAAATTGAGAGTATAGTAATTATAAAAATTAACAAATTTATCATACATCACAATTTCTAATCGGATAATGGTGTAAAAATTCTATATTGGTGCATATACATTTTACTCATAAGCAAAAGAATGTATCAGAAAAAGTGTCTAACCCATTCATCTATAACAAGGCCCTCCCCGGCTACTTGAGGACCTTTCTCCTCCGGCAGTTTCTTTCGTGCTTCAAGTGCAGCCTCAGCCTCAGCCAACATCTGTTTAAGCTTATCCAGGACCTTTAAGAAACAAAAGCTTTCAATTATATTAGAAAATGGTAGAGGTCATATGACATATTTGAGATGTATAGTCTTACAGGGCTAGGCCGTTCAGGGTCCAGAAAAATGACCCGGAGAATTTGCTCTACTGCCACTTCATCTCTTTGCTCATCAAACTGTATCAAGAATCATGTGACATTTACATGTTAAATTTCCTTTTGCTTTGTAACTGAATGCATGATCTATTTATTCAATAAACCAAAGCACTTCGTCCTAAATGCTCAAAACAACATTTGAAACTCAAAAGAATTGGCTCATTTGTCATGGCATGAATAAAACCAAGAACAGCAAGTCACACCTGGAAAAGATGAATTATGAAACATGATTTTGTGACCAAGGTCAAACAGTCAAACCTAATTTTTGCAATCAACTTAAGGCTTTTTGAACATATTTTTGATTTTTTTTTAGTTAGACAGTTGCAATGTAAGTAGGTTGTTTACTGAATTTAGTAAAAAGTTGTAATGCAAGCAATAAAATATGTTACTTCTAAAACCTTAAGCACTCGCATAATTAAATGCACCAAGAATAATATACTGGAGAAGGCAATTCATATAAAATTCAGTAGTTCTGACAACAATTGCGTGAAGAGAATCAAGAAATGGTCAGAAATATATTTAAGTGTGACACAAGTCACACTGCCAGTCACAGCAGCCTCACAAAAGTATCTAACATAGATGTGGCGGCAGCAAATAAATAAGCTACCTTGCCTCGAGTATCCAGAAACAAAGTAAAATCAGGTCATTGATATGCATAAAGGTTCCAGAGCCTCCTCTACTTCCAAGTTCCAACGACTATGCCAAATTTCCATTTGTACAAAATGGAATCTCATTGAACTATTTATAAGAAAAAATTGTCTTAAGAAATTCAACAGTAGTCACAACCAGGGACGGAACTTGTTGTGACCGGAAGAGCCACGACTCTTCCAAAATTTTCAAAATTTATATATATATATATATATATATATATATATATTATATTTATATATTATCATATTATTAATTATAATAAAATAAAAAAAAATTGAATAAAGAAAATTAAAATTTTTATTTGTTTTATAATTAGTAAAAAAATTAATTTATATATAAAAAAAATTAATTTGGCACGTCCAAATTTCTTATTCAAGTTCTGCCACCGGTCACATCAAATATACTATCGACTCAGTTTCCTTGATCAACATATGTGGTAAACTAACTTTTCAGTATTTCCACAAAAAAGCTTGTTTTAAGACATGTACACACAATAATAAAAAAACTTTAATTAACTCAAGAACTGAAAAAAGTTTTAACTTCACCTTTCTTAAAGAGGCAAAGATATAAATTAATGAAAATTACAATGATGTTGATGCTAGATATCATGGAAAGTAGAAATAATACATTACCAGTTCCGGTACATAGTCCAGTTCACCTTGCACTTTTAGGCTCATGATTTTAAACTTAACCTTGCTTTTTTGATCAATTGCTTTCTCATTGTTCTCTGGTGGCTCCACGAACTTGAATACTGCCATATATGTGAGGCAGTAAGAGGATTCACCAAATTCTAAGCATTTGATAACGTCACTTAACAGGAGTTTAGAAGACAAATTACCAGTGGCGATAATACTTTCACCAGGGGCAAGAATACCACCTGGAGGGCGCATATAACAGCTCTTGGGTGCAGTTGTTTGAAACTAAGACAAGAAAATATCACCTTAGTAGTAACCTAAACAGTGGATAAATATAGCAAACAATTAAAAAAAGCCATTAGCATAGTACATAAACTAGATATGTTCAAATGTTCAAATCATCCTGTAGATATATGCAGGGAAACCGTATACGAAGATGGACATCATCAACATATTACATTTCCTATCATTTACTATAGTAATTTAGTATAATTTCCCAAGATTTTGAAACTGTTTTAATGGAAAACTCCCGTGATGAACACTTTCTCAATGTTCGAAGGCAAAATTTGTTCTCCACTTTTGGAGCAGTTGTTGAGGCAGTCTAAGAAACATTGCAGACATAATATTTTAAATTTTCTATTTTCTATGTTGAACAGTAATATAATGAATGACAGAGTTGGTTACCAATTCACTATATGGAGTAAAACATGTTGATAATGTTGTGTCACGCATTATTTCCGAATACAAGAAAATAGTGGCAAAAAGTAAACGGAAGCATAAACCACACCTTGAAAGCTACATGAGACTTGCAAGTGTTTTTAATTGCGATTGCACTCCTGACTTGCTTACCAGGTTCATCTTGAAAATCAAAACAAAGTTAAGTGAAATGAAATCAGGCAATGACAAACCTAACATCCACTGAAAACTAATCATATTCTTGATTCCACCCATTATAAGAAAGCTTACCTTAAATACAACATAACAATAAAGCAAGGAGAAAAACAGAATCCATAATGTGAACGTTAGACATGATAACTAAAAATAAAACAAGTAACAACCCACTAACAAGTCACAAGGCTTTAGAAAATAAAATAATACAGACCAAGCAATTAAAACAAAACATTAATTTGACAAGAAATCCAAACAGAAAAAGATTAATTCTAAATCCTCTTATAATACTCTTCTAATCCTCCCACTTAAATATTGATTTTTTTTAATGTTTCTAAAACATAAAATACTTGACTTTTTTATTTAATATTTTTCATATAAATTATTGAAAAGATTTGTAGAAAGATATAACATTATTGATGACGAAACAAGTTTGATGAGATACATACAGGGAAAATAGAGGTTGTTGGGAGGATCCAGACGGAGCCTCCTCTTGGTAGGGAGCAGAGACTTAGCCACAGATGAAACTGTGGTTGAAGAATGATGAGTGGGTCTATCAACAACAGATTGAAGATGGTTTTGAGGATGAACATTGTGCATATCAGACATGGAAGAAGACGAAGGAGGGTGAGTTGTTTGCCAAAATGGCATTCTACAAAATCTCCAAACCTTGCCATCAGAGCATGATTTTTGAGTTTGAGTCTCCAGCTCCATGTGGGTCTGAGAATTGGTTGCAAAGTTTGAAGCTTTGCAGTTAACAAGGGAAGGTAGATTTGGCAGTTGTAGCAGTAGCAGAAATAGTTTGTGTTGGTAAAAGCATAGTAAGGGCGAGGTTGTTGAATGGTTACAACTTATCCTTGTTTTGTCCGAAACTGTGGTAGTTACTGCGTACTGGTTAGTACCTTTATGAGTGAGACAATTTGGTAGCAGATGTCAATTTTACTGTGATGATGGGTTCGGACTCATTGCTGCTAATTTTGTGCATTTGATTTGTGTGTTTGAGGTCCATTTGTTTGTTTGTTTGTGGATTCCGGACTTTAAAGCTGGTTTAATTCATTCTACCGTCTCTGCAATCATTTGCAACTTCTTTTCAACATTTCACGTATAAGATTGGCATCACACCTTTTTCCATCTCCAGTAGTAGAGTAATCTCTTAATAAATAATTGTATTTGTAATTAAGATATGTACAACAAACAACCTTTTAATAAAATAAGGGGTGTGTGTAATCCTCCGATGGACACCCTTTTAACACCGTGGATATTTCAATGAGTGTAATTTTTTTTATATCAAATACAAAGTTACATTTTTTAAATTATTTCTCTAATTTGACATACTAACGAATACTCATTCTTGGATAAATGTAATGAACAAAAGTTAGTACAGTTTAGTTGAAAAAAAATTCATATATTAAAAGAACTCATATATTCAGTATTTTGTGAGTATTATTTTTATAAGTTTTCAGAGTCCTAAAGTTTGTTCTAACCTTAGTTTTCTAGAATTCAATTCATCTAAATTTCTTAATTAAAAAAAAAAGTCATTGTACTGGGACTACACACCACCCAGTCAAAGTCAACACTAAACATACCTCCTTAGGCCGAGTACTCATCAGGCCAATGAATAAGCCGAGTACCCCCCTTAGGCCGAGTACCCCTCAGGTCAACAAATGGACCAAATATCCCCTTAGGCTAAGTACCCCCCTCAGGCCGATAAATAGGTTGAATCCCCCCTCGGGCCGAATAACCCATCAAGCCAACAAATGGGCCGAATACCCCCTTAGGCCGAGTACCCCCCTTAGGCCGAGTACCCCCCTCAGGTCGGGTACCCATCAGGCCAATGAATAGGTCGAGTACCCCCCTTAGGCCGAGTACCCCCCTCAGGCCGAGTACCCATCAGGCCAATGAATAGGCCGAACACCCCTTCGGCCAAGGAAAAGGCCGAATACCCCTCCGTCCAAGGGGAAGGCCGAATACCCCTTCAGTCAATGAACATGCCGAATACCCCCTCGGCCGATGAACATACCGAATGGGTATTTAGCTGTAACGAATTTCCATGAGAAAAAGGAAAACAGGTATTAATTACATTAAACACATCCACGTCAACTGTAATCAGTGTGCAAAACCTCGTGCACTAGCCCAATAATCCAGAAAGCCCACCAAGCCCAAGAATGTCACTATAAATACGGTATTGATGGGACTGATTGGAAAGGTATCATTATCTAGTATAAAAGTCTTTATTGCTCTATACCGAATACTTACTTGAGCGTCAGAGTGCCTTTGCAGGTACCCTCCCCACCCTTTGAGGACAGTATCTGGTAGGCACCGAAGACTTAGCAGATCAAGGAGAAGGAACAATAGGAGGAGTGTTTCTAAGCAGGAACATTTTGGCGCCCACCGTGGGGCCGAAACCAAAACGGTTCTCGACCCTGAAGTAAGATGGTAGCAACTAGGAGTCAGCAAGAGAACGAAGCAATTCACAACCTCGGGATGCCCCCAACACTCAGTCAACGTGTGATCAGGGGGAATCGTCGGGATGGTACAAAGAGACAAGAATTCTTCAGCCGCCTGGCGGAGTGACGACAACAACTCTAGATCAGCAACGATGATAAGGGAAAACACCGTTTACTCCCAACATCGCCAGAGCCCGATTGCCGGACAACTAGAAAAACTTGGCCCTGGAAAAGTATGACGGAACCACCGACCCCGAGGAACACCTTGATGCCTTCGTCACTCAAGTCGGTTTATATACCAACGAAGACGCTGTCATGTGTAAGGTTTTTTCCACATCACTGAAAGGACCAGCATTGTGTTGGTTTACAAGACTTCCCCTAGGATCGATGGACTCGTTCACAACCTTGTCCTCTCGATTTGTAATACAGTTTGCCACGAGCCGACCCCATCAGCTTACCCCCAGCGGTGGCAATGCACCACCTCACCACGGCACTGAGGCTAGAGCCCTTTGTAAACAACCTATGTAAGAAGCTGTCCCGAGACTTAGACGAATTAAGACAAAGGGCCACAAAGTACATGCAGATGGAGGAGTTAGCCGAATTCAGGAACTAGAACCGACCCGAGTTGTTTCAAGAGAAGAAGGAGAAGGAATTCGTCCCTAGATCCTGTCTACGGGACACTTTCGATCGAGAAAAGAATACCCGAGGACCCCGATATGCACAATACACACCCCTTAACTCCAGCCGAACCAAGGTGCTGGAACAGGCCCTCACCACCGAAGTCCTCACAGTACCTCGCCAAGCCATGACCCCACCCCATGCAAACAAAACAAAAACATGTCAGTTTCATAGAAACCAGGGGCATACCACCGAAGAGTGCACGACCCTCCGAGATCGCATAGAGGATCTCGTCAAATCGGGACATATTCAAAGTTTTGACCAATCTTCGGGAAGGAGGAATCATGACGGTTATCCTAGCAGGAGAGACCACAAAAGAGAAGACCAAGAAAGGGCTCCTCCGAAGTATAGGCACAGGGAACGTAGCAAGTCCCATGAGTAGAGTGATCAGCCGCGAGACCGCAATCAGCCGAGAAGAGTAATAAATACGATAGTTGGGGGATTCGTGGGAGGAGGTGGAACCTCGTCGTCCCAAAAATGACACCTGAGAGAAATCCATTCCATAAAAGCGGTAGAACGAACGAGCTCGATTCATATGCCACCTATCACATTCACTAACAAGGATTTCCAAGGAGTCGACCCGGTGCAAGACGACCCAATGGTAATCAGTGTGGAAATCAACAACTGCATTGTGAGGAAGACGATTATGGATCAAGGGAGCTCGGTCGATATCCTATATTGGAAGACTTTCAAACAGTTGGGCATTCCCGAGCACGAATTGGTACCCTACAGCGAGCCCTTACTCAGATTCTCAGGCGAACGAGTGGATATCCGAAGAACAATTGATTTATACACTTACTTCGGGGACGAACGAGAGGGACGAAGGGGTAAAGTACGATATGTAGTGGTGCACGCAAACACCTCCTACAATATCTTGCTGGGACGACCTTCATTGAACAAGCTTCGAGCCATTGTGTCCACTCCACACCTGGCCATGAAGTTCCCATTCGAAGCTGGCACGGTGATCACCTTGCATGCCGATCAAAAAACGGCTCGCGAATGTTACTTCGCTAGTCTGAAGATGCCACTTACCCCTAAGCCTCGGCAGAAGGTTAATGTGATTAGAGACACCCACAAAGATGGGTCGGACATAAGCTTAGAGCAAGATCCGAGGTTCGAAGACAAACACCAAGTTGAACCGATAGAGACAACAACCCCATTTTAACTCGGGAGAAACGAAGAACAGGTCACCTACTTGAGTTCCCAACTGTCAGAGGTCGAGGCAAGAGACATCAAGCAAATCCTCGTGAAGTACTCAGACCTATTCGCCTGGACAGCCGCCGACATGCCAGGCATTGACCCAAGCTTTCACTGCCACCGCCTCTCAGTGTGTCGAGACGCCAAGCCCATCGCCCAAAAGAAAAGAAAGATGGGGGAGAAAGGGCCCAAGCGGTAAAAGAAGAGACAACCAAGCTACTTCAAGCGAGATTTATCAAGGAAGTTAAGTACTCTACTTGGTTGGCCAATGTGGTAATGGTTGAGAAGGCCAATGGCAAATGGCGGATGTGCATCGACTACACAGATTCGAACAAGGCATGCCCAAAAGATGTTTATCCCCTGCCACACATAGACGCATTGGTAGACGGGGTAGCAAGCCATCAGATACTTAACTTCCTTGATGATTATTCTGGGTACAATCAGATACCCATGTATCCACCGGACGAGCAGCGTTCATCACAAAGTCAGCTAACTTTTGTTACAGAGTCATGCCGGTTGGTTTGAAGAATGCGGGGGCAACTTACCAAAGACTCATGGACAAGAGCTTCCACCAGCAGATCGAGAAGTGTTTAGAAGTGTATGTAGACGACATGGTGGTAAAGTCTGACTCCATGGATGATCACATCAAAGACCTAAGGCAAGTGTTCGATGAGGCTATCATCGACATGAGGAGCCCTCGCAACGTCAAGGAAGTGCAGCGCTTGGCTGGGCGGATAGCATCACTGGCGCGTTTCTTACCATGCATGGCAGACAAGTCTAGGCCAATAATGTCGCTGTTAAAGAAGGCCCGCAAATTCCAATGGATCGAGGAGTGTGAATTGTCATTCCAAGAATTCAAAGAGATGCTTGCTGCACCACCACTCTTATCTAAACAGAACCATCAGTCAGACCTCATAGTCTACATAGTTGTCTCTAAAAAGCCCATTAGTGTTGCCTTGGTACAAGAAAGGAAAGAGCAAGTTCCGGTATACTTCGTTAGTAGAGTCCTGCAAGAAGCAGAGAATCGATACCAGCAGCTCGAAAAGACAGTCCTCGCTTTGGTACAGGCGGCTCGCCGCTTACACCACTACTTTCAAAGCCATAAAATAGTCGTAAGGACGAACAATCCGATAGTCAAAGTCTTGAGAAAGCCCGAGCTCGCAGGTAAAATGGTAGCATGGTCAATAGAGCCATTGCAATTTGACATTCAGTTCGAATCAAAAGGTCCTATCAAAGCTCAAAGCATGGCTGACTTATTAAATGAGTTTCACCCTGAAACCGCGTCAGAAAAGGCAGTATGGACATTACACGTAAACGGATCATCAAACCAACAAGGTAGCGGAGCTGGGATCATACTTAAAGGACTGGACAACATGGTGGTAGAACAATCACTATGCTTCAACTTCAAGACTTCCAACAATCAATCCGAATATGAAGCCTTGCTAGCCGGTTTGCGTCTGGCAAGAGAATTGGGGATCACGAGAGTTAAGTTTTGGAGTGACTCCCAGGTAGTCACGGAGCAGATAAATGGAACATTTGAAGTCAAAGAGCTGACATTGCTCAAGTACTTCCACGCATTCCAGAAACTCAAGGCTACCTTCGAAGAGGTCCACATAAGTCATACCCTTAGAGAGCTCAATACGAGGGCCGGCCAATTGGCAAAGTTGGAAAGTAGTAAGAAGACGAACCAACTCCGTAGCGCAATACATCAAGAGCTACAAAGTCCAAGCATTGTAGAGTCCGAGTGCTTAGAAATTCGGCAAGGAGACAAAAATTGGATGACTAACATCACCAATTATCTCTTGACGGGAAACATTGGTCGACCCCCACAAAAATTGTAGAGCCCGAGACACCTCAGTAATGAAACACAATTCAGTCTCATTTACTTGTGTTCACCCACAGCAAACTCGCACTCAAACTTGTCAGATAATAAATTCCCTCCCGAGTTCCTCCACTCGGCTAAGGACGAAAAAACGATTCCCTCCCGAGTACCTACACTCGGCCAAGGAAGTAAAATCTCAAGTGCCAACTTGGTCAAGGAAGAATACATAATTCCCTCCCGAGTTCTTGCACTCGGCTAAGGACGAAAAAACGATTCCCTCCCGAGTACCTACACTTGGCCAAGGAAGTTAGTCCCCTCCCAAGTGGCAACTTGGTCAAGGAAGAATACACAATCCCCTCTCGAGTTCCCCCACTTGGCTAAGGACGAAAAAACGATTCCCTACCGAGTACTTATACTCGGCCAAGGAAGTTAACTCCCTCCTGAGTGCCAACTTGGTCAAGGAAGAATACATAATTCCCTCCCGAGTTCCACCACTCGGCTAAGGACGAAAAAACGATTCCTCCCGAGTACCTACACTCGGCCAAGGAAGTTAGTTCCCTCCTAAGTGTCAACTTGGTCAAGGAAGAATACACAATCCCCTCCCGAGTTCCCCCACTCGGCTAAGGACGAAAAAAAAGACTCCCTCCTGAGTCCATGCACTCGGCCAAGGTTGACAAACACCAATCCCTCCCGAGTCCACACACTCGGCCAAGGTTGACCAACACCAATCCCTCCCGAGTCCACACACTCGGCCAAGGTTGACCAATACCATTCCCTCCAGAGTGCATATACTCGGCCAAGGAGGACTATCTCATTCCCTCCCAAGTCTTCACTTGGCTAAGGACGAAGAGAATTATACCAAGATGTGAGGAGACCTTCATAAATTCTTTCAGGGTATGAAAAGCCAAACGCCACACCTCTCCACCTAGGCGTGAAACACTAGGACGACACATCATGCAACGATCACAATTGGTTAGTCAAGGGACGCAACTCCTAAGGGCAGTACCACGTTTTGACCTCCGACACATCCCCTCATACAAGTCAAATCTTTTCCAATACTTTGAATCCCTTCATCTTTCATCCTCGGGCTTGGGGGGGCAGTGTACTGGGACTACACACCACCCGGTCAAAGTCAACACTAAACACACCTCCTTAGGCCGAGTACCCATCAGGCCAATGAATAAGCCGAGTACCCCCCTTAGGTCGAGTACCCCTCAAGCCAACAAATGGACCAAATACTCCCTTAGGCCGAGTACCCCCCTCTGGCCGATGAATAGGTCGAATACCCTTTCGGGCCGAATAACCCCTCAAGCCAACAAATGGGCCGAATACCCCTTTAGGCCGAGTACCCCCCTCAGGCCGGGTACCCATCAGGTCAATGAATAGGTCGAGTACTCCCCTTAGGCCGAGTACTCCCCTCAGGCCGAGTACCCATCAGGCCAATGAATAGGTCGAACACCCCTTCGGCCAAGGAAAAGGTCGAATACCCCTTCGTCCAAGGGGAAGGCCGAATACCCCTTCGGTCAATGAACATGTCGAATACCCCCTCGGCCGATGAACATACCGAATAGGTATTTAGCTGTAACGAATTTCCATGAGAAAAAGGAAAACATGTATTAATTACATTAAACACATCCACGTCAGCTGTAATCAGTGTGCAAAACCTCGTGCACTAGCCCAATAATCTAGAAAGCCCACCAGGCCCAAGAATGTCACTATAAATACGATATTGATGGGACTGATTGGAAAGGTATCATTATCTAGTATAAAAGTCTTTATTGCTCTATACCGAATACTTACTTGAACGTCGGAGTGCCTTTGCAAGTACCCTCCCCACCCTTTGAGGACAGTATCTGGTAGGCACCGAAGACTTAGCATATCAAAAAGAAGGAACAACACGAGGAGTGTTTCTAAACAAGAACAATCATGAACATGAGTGTGCAATTTTTACCAAATTGACATTTTTCTTGATTTCTTCTCTCCTTTTATTTTATTATGCTTGTGCTCGAAAGCAACTCAGAAAAGTTGCCTATAGCTTGATCTATCAAATATTAGCCATTATATAATATGGTTGCAGAGCATTATTAGTAAGTGATTTTATTAATAATATGACACCACTGGAAAACCCACTAATCTTCTTGAGGCCCTCTTGCGTAAGGTCGTCTTTATATTACCCCTTTTGTTCTAGATATAATATATAATATACATCATCATGAATTGCTAATAATATTACTTTCAAAAGGTAATTTGCTAGGGAATAATCCAACACCTTTGCCCAAAAGCTGCTTTTCCCTCCCAAATCTTGAAAGCCATATCTTTTTGTCAGATTTATCCTTATCTATATAGCTGTATTCACTTACGTTAAATTGTTTGCTAATTATAAAAAATAATAGTTATTTATTTATATTCTATAGGAAATTTTATTAGGATTTAATCTCCTTTATTATTAACATGGATATAAATATTACCTAAAAATTAGTGTAAAATATTATGCTGAAGAATATTAATGAAGCACATAAGAACTGGAATTGCTCAAAACTTTGATTTTCATTTATCAAAATTTACATGACCATGAGAATATCTAATTGGGACCCCAACAGCTTAAGTACATGACTGTCCTGAAGGACTCTTCTGATTGCTTTACACCCTCTTCCTTTAATCTGCTGGAAACGTTAGAAAAAGAAGAGGAAGAAACCTTCTTTGCCTGAGACAAAGATCTCACATGGTTCTTAAGTTGATGTTGTGCAGATCTTAAAACACTATTCCACCTGCACAAGCCCTGGTCCTTCAAGGCCTCTACAACTCCAACACTAGCTGCCACACCCCAAGTTCTGCTTCCTGAACTCATCTTCTATATATAACAACTCTTCTTGCTTTTTAGATGAACAAAAATATAAGCGAGTTGGTGGTTGGTATATTTGATATTTGTAGTGTGGTTTTGGATTGAGAGAGCAACTGAAATGAAGGTGACTATATAGAGAGGGGAAGCAATTGGATAATATTGCTAAACTGAGGAAGCGATAAGGGAAAACCGTAGGCACAAAGTTAAGGTTTGGTAGGTACTGGTTTTGAGGAAGCCAGTGGTTTTGTTGTGTGAGATTTGGAATCAAGTTCGATGTATCCGTAGTTTTTGGACCACGTGTCTTTGCCACACAACTGTCGCACTCACTCCAAAATATGTAACAAGTAGAATTTTTCGTGTCACTATGATGCTTGCTTGCCAAATCAAGACAACTCTGTCTCACGCGTTTCGCATCTAATAACTGATGTTCAAAGTTAGTATATTTATATGAAAAAAAAAAAAAAAAAAAAAAAAAAAAATATATATATATATATATATATATACATGTATTACGATAAAATTAATTTAATCAATTATTTTTATTTCTCTGTCGATCAAGTCTTATAAAAGAATTATAGAAATACTTTTTCTTTAAGAATTTAATAGTCATTATTAGTATAATTTTATGATATCAACCGATATAAATAGATTTTAAAATAATTATTGGAAAAGTTAACACATATATAATAATTTGTGATAAATTTGAGATTAAAATGACAGTATAAAAACTATTTTATAGTATTTCTATATAATTATTTAATTTTTTAAAATCCAACGCAATAATTTTGAATTCATGTCATTTAGATAAAATTAAATATATAGGCATTTATCAAAAATTAAATGTGTTTGATATCATGTTATTGATTATTTTTTTTCACAAACAATGTATTTGATGCATTTTTTCACATTTAAGTGGAAATCTGCTTGGTGTTGCTTTCAAATTATATATATATATATATAGATCCAAACTATTTTGACTTTAAATAATTTTTTAATTGAATAAAATTTTTATAATTAAATTAATTTTTGAATAAAAATTTAAACATAAATCAATTTATTTTAGAATCAAGTTTATCTAAAATTGATATGACACAAGAGCTCATCTTACAAATATACTTAGCACTTTTAACAACAAAAAAAATTATAGGATGAAACAAATTATTTCATAAAAATTTAAATAAAATTTTAGAAAATTTTATAAGAAAATTAAAAAAAAAACTTGTTTTATTTTTTTTAAATTTTATTTTCCTATAAAAGTACTTTCATCCTCAAAATCAATTCCACAAATACTTGCTCATACATTTGCAAATACTCAAACACAGGTTTCTAAACGGCGGTAGGTGAATAGAATACCACTTCAGCGTAATCAGAACTATAAAAAATTAAATCGATTTATATTGTGCTGCTTAACTTTCTCACGGAAAAGCTTTAAAGTCTGCACTATATAAAAGAAGAATCATATAAAATAAGAATGAGATCTCATGGCACTATTGATTTTCGTAGAATCATACTGTCAACATCCACACATGAAAAATTTAGTTGTAAAATGTTATCGTTCCTATATTAGGATACATGCTTTACTTATTTTTGTTGTAGCGGATCTGGTCTTAGGTCTAGGTCCTTTCTGATTAGTCTGATTAAGCCGAAGTGAGAAGGATGTATGCAAAGATATTCCAACGTTCAAGTAAGTACTCGACGTATTAAATTTGAAGTACTTTATTAGAGTCCTATTTATAGTGATTCTTATTAGGTCGTGATTAAGGACTGGGCCCCGAAAAATTAGGGGACTAAGCCAGTACATTACGTTAATTAATATCTTCGTAATAATCCTGGCATAAATTCGTAACTTGACCGAGAACACCAACACGTTCAGAGTGGTCGGGATAATTAATTGAGTCGGTCGAATCGAGTCAGAAATTCAGGTGTTCGACCTAGTCAGCTACCATTTCGTATATTATATAAAAGAATTATTAATATACTATAATCTAACTCTTTTTCTGAATGACGATAATCTAACTCTTATATAAGCACTCCACTAGTATCGATCGATGTCATATTTTAACTACCTTTGAGAAAGAACGTCATATCATCACTCACTATAAAGAAATAATCAGTTCATGTATAGGCGAAGAATCACATCACGAGTCACTCGTGCATGAACCTGAGAACATATAATGGGTGAATATTTTATCAGAAAGGATACAGAAGTATATTATATTATTAGGTATTAGTATATTATATTAAAAGAATGTCGCTGGTAGGAAAAAGGACATAAAATATAAACAATTATAGTATGAAGGAACTTTTTTAAGATTATGATCTTATACTTGCGGAAATAATCTTTCACAGGCTTTGTTTATCTCTCAGTAAAATTAGTCTAAAAGGAAAACTTAGAGGCTTTATTTATAATTAGCCTAAGACGAATTAAATTAATCTAAAAGACTTATTAAATTAGTCTAAAACAAAGAACAGTACTGCCAACGTCTTAATTAAAACACTGAGAAAAAACCGTTTTAGAACACTGAGAAAAAAAATTGTTAAGATCTTACTGCATGTGAAGTGAATCGATAGTCATCATGCAAAATAATTAAGAATAAGATCTAAGATTGTACTCCTTAACGGATATTACATTAATCTGTCACAGTGAGCGAATACCAATAATAATAATGTACATGAATGAATAGAAGCCAAACATGGCAAGAAAATATCATTCTCGGGGCACAATTTCTTTGTGGGCTAGATTCAAAGAACATTACTTTTTTTCTTCAGTTGGGACCCCAAGAACTTAAGTACATGACAGTCCTGAAGGATTCTTCGGACTGCTTCGCCTTCTCTCCATGCAATCTGTTAGAAACCATAGCAGAAGAAGAATAATGCTTCTTTGCCTGTGAGAACGATCTAATAACGTGCTTTTTCACACGATGTTGAGCTGACTTGAAAGCTGAATTCCATCTGCACAGGCCATGATCTTTCAACGTCTCCACAACTCCAACACTAGCTGCCGCAATCCAAGTTCTCTTGCTTGAACTCATCTCTTGTAAATGGAGCAGTAGTGATCCTCTTGAGCCTGAAAAGTTGATGCTAGTGTAGCTCAAAGAATACTATAGCAGATTCGTAGTTTCTATCGATGAAATGAAGTGAAATGTGTACTCATATATAGAGATGCAAAAGTCGGTGATTCAAAGAAAATGCCAATTCTTTTTTCGATAAATGGAGTGCTTTGTAATTGCTCAGTATTCTGTGTCTCCGATACATTGCAGGGCAACGTGTCTGTGTCACATAAGTGCCACGGTACCACCCAGTTGCATTGTGAAGTGTTACACGTGTACATTCGGGTTTAGTAGGACACAACGTGGGAGGGAATGAAACCGCTTCGTTTCTTTTTGTTACTTTTTTTGAGGCATTAATTAAATGAATAAATTTGCAGACTTTGGCATATCAAGGTAGGCAGCCTATATTCATATTTTATTGCTGCTTAATCTCTATATTTACCAGGAAAAAAATTCAGATCTAAAACACAAATTTTAATCATTTTAGACATACTCATGCATTGTATTTGACATTTATATAGTTTAATTATTTTAATATAACTTTTGGATATTCTATTCTATTCTATTCATAGAAGTTGATGCTTATTACCGTTGTATGAATAACAATTTCCTTTATTTCAGTGTGCATATCTTTCTATTATCACCGGCCACTGGTGCTAATAATAATAATAATCCATTCCCTGTCTCGTTAATTGTTAGAACTTAGAAGACATGGAGAGCCACTATTGAAATGCAATGCCACTACTTTTTTAATCTCTGAATAGTTAAGGAAACAAAAGATTTCAAATTTGGCGATTGCCCACGAATTAGTATCAGCTAGCTTTTTCCAAATCCAATCCAATCACAGGTCCCAAAGCCAAAAAAAAATGCCCTAATATATATATATACATACAGAACAAAACAAATATCTCTGGGACAGGTTTTCCCATTTCTATAGAAATATTCAAAAGCTGGAAAAACCAGGTGAAATCTTGTACAAATACATCCTCCATGTTAGGATTCAAACAAGTCCCACGTTGATAAAATAATACAACAAATAACAACTTATATAATACAAACATACTTTAATGATTGAGAGGCCTTTTGTTATTTGTTGAAGTATGTTTGTATTATATAAGTTGTTATTTGTTGTATTATTTTATCGATGTGGGACTTGTTTGAATCCTAACAATTTTTTTTTATCAGATGAGCATAATATAATTTTATTCATGAGTATCTATTTATAGAGAAAATTTGTTATACAAAATCAAATATATTTAATATTATCCTATTCTAAAATAAGGAAATAAATCTTAAAATAATCATAACAGATTAAATCTAAATATTTAAAATATAAATAAAATATTCTTATAAAAAATTAGCTTAATCTTCTAAAAATATTTAAGCATATTCCCAACACTCCAAGACATTAAAATTACTTTTCCTGCATGCTAGCAGCGACTACACACATTACCACCTATAAACAATTGGCAAATAATCCATTAGACTGAAATTTACAGACAAGTACGAAAGATTTTGTGTATTTCACACTTACTAGATTGATCTCCAGTTTTAGTAACTTTTTCAAGCAAGGCATTCTAAGACTTCCCACCATTGTTGCCATTTGGCACTTTACTTAAATGCTGCCACTACTGATCAACATTTATAACGTAATTAAATAAATTTACAAACAAATTAAAATATATATATATATACACAAACGCTACATTGGATTCATACCTGTGAATATTGGACCATTGGGGGAACTACAGGATATAGTGTATAAGGGAGGTGCACCATAGTGATGCATGAAAGGCATACCATAGCATAGTGGCACAGAACAAACTGGTAAGTTCTGCAGTGGGGGCAACAAAGAAACCTGCTGTGTAATGAGGCAACATTTCACTTGAAGCATGATTGGGTTTCATTTCCTAACAATACATTAAAAAACAGGACATATTAGTCGTTATATTTCCAATACAAACAACAGTTGCAACATTAACTACTGAAAAAAAAAAATCCAATTTAAGACTAATCCTTTACTTACTACATTAGTACAAGTTTTCTGCTTGAGTTTCTTTATACTTGTTTCACAAGCTACCTTAGGATTCACACCGATCTTCTGCATCAAAGTATACACTTAAATATAACAAATTAACTAAAATATAAAATAGGAGTACAAATTAAACTTGTTAATCACTAACCCTTTTTTTCTTATCATTCACAACTTTCGACAGACCATTTATAACATCAAATTGAATGTGTTCTTGATCCTGCATTAATAATCAAAATAACAGTTGCCACAATTGAAAAACATTTGACTCTATTCTACACAAAAATTACTGAAAAGTCAAAACATAGCCAACAATTACATGAATAATTTTTTCCCCCTAACAGCAAAATTTGAAGGACAAGCATAGTTATCCTTGCTGCCAATATCATTAGTACCAACAACCTTTGGTGTGTCATTTGTCATAACATTTTGGTGGACATTGTTTGCATCACATGGAGAGCCATTTTTATCCTGCAGTAAAAAGGGGAAAACATGTACCAATACACCATCATTCAATAATTATAACATAATTCACATTAACAAGCATAAGAATATTACACTAACAACGTGACTCCTGTTCTCATCAGTCCAAGATGGTGACACAACATCATCCTTCCTGCAGTGATTCTCTGTAGAAGCAACTCTTGGGCATGTCCCGATTATATGTCAACTAGGGATACATTTTGACTTTGAACATCTATTTCTTTCATACTTTTTTCCTTTCAGAGCACCTTTTGTCTTCATCGCAGTGGGATCACCAACATCGTTTACAAAGGATTCATTTGTACCACATTGATCACCTTGCTTCTCTAACTTATAAGTGAGCCTACGGATTCCATCTTTGATTTCATTAAAGTACTTGGTCATTTAGGCAGCCATATGGCATAGTTTGTCACAAGCAGCTACTAAAGCCCCAAAACGAGCACTTATTATCTGTTTCTCCTTCGGTAGTTTCTTTCGCACTTCAAGTGCAGCCTCAGCTAACATCAATTTAAGCTTATCCAAGACCTTTAAGAAACAAAAGCTTCCAATTTTAACTCAACATAAAATGGTAGAGGTCATATTACATTTAAAATTATAGTCTTACAGGGCTAGGCCGTTCAGGGTCCAGAAAAATAACTGGCAAAGTTTGCTCTAGTGCCACTTGATCTCTTTGCTCATGAAACTGCAGGAAGAATCATGAAACATTTGCACGTTAAATTCCCATTTGCTCCATGTGTTAATGTTAGCTCTATTCTCATCAAGTGTATTGAGTCAAAAAGTAGTATAAATCGGATATTGTAGACAATTAGAAAGTGAATAGGCTATCTTCAACTTATAACAAAAATTTCATATTGAGATTAAAAGACGTGAATATTTAAACTTAAAAAGAGTTACAATTAATTAATCAGTAGAGTTGAAAAAAAGAAAAAGGAATTCAAGTTTCAAAGATTTTGGGACTAATATTCATTTTATATTACTTGAAGTTACTCTTTCGTATAATAAATTAGTCACTCATTTATAGTTTCAATCCACAGATATTCATTTAAATTAATTTCTGAACTTGAAGCTCTAAGAACCTAAAATCAATACATGATTCCTTCTTACTTTAAGTTCATGGACTTGTTGATTGATGATTTTAAATCTATTCCTAGATGTTAAATAATCATCAAGTGCCTAGATTAAGTTCAAATTACAAATATGTTTCCCAACTATATTGGAAATCAATATACAAACGAAGCATTAAGTATAAAATCAAGCATCACTATTAATTACTGAACTTAACATATATAAACAAGAAAGAGTTTATATCAAGATTGTCAAATGAACTCAATCCCAACTAAGAGAGTTTAGCTATGCATAGTCAAAGAGAATGCAAATATACAACCCATAGATTAAAAGAAGAAAAAAATAAGAGATGATCCTCATTCCGGAGCACCCTTGTTCTTCAAATCTCCTTAAGATCCTATCCTTTCTCTCTTTCATTCCTCCCCCTTTTTTCATCCTCAACAGTTATTTATATGATCTTCAAAATAGAGGGAAGTTCTGAATTTTTTTCTCCCATCATTGTAGTGATGGTTCACAGCTATAGTTATGGAGAATACTTCATCTTGAAATAAACTCCACAACTTGAGTGCTAATGAAATACCCTATTTCTAAATCAACTTCAAATTTCCATTGCTCGAGTGCTGGCTAGGTGCCATGGCGCCAAGAATCTGTGGCACCTGTCGTTGTAGCACTTGTTTGAGGCCATGGAGCCAAAAATCTGTTGAACTTCACAATTGCGACAGTGGCTCAAGGCTTGAGCGATGGAACTTAGAAATTCTTCTTTTCCTACAAAATAGAGAGAAAATTTTAAATTATCAATCTACCTTCTCTTATCTTGATGCTCCTTCTTGAATTTTCAATAAAAAAAAGACAAAATATAGTGAAATATGTATATATAATTAACAAAGAAAGTGATAATTAAGATTAATATTCATTAAATTTTGACACTTGTCAACTCCCCCAACATAGTACTTTGTTTGTCCCCAGGGTTCACTAAGGTTACCAACATAATTCATACACAAGATGTTTCACCATTAACCAAGGAATAACTATCATCAATCAATTCATATTTACTTGAACTCTTTTCTTTGCTACTTACCAAAGGTGCCCACATTATCAATCATACATAATCAATAGAGTTCACAAGATAATTCAATAACATGTACACTTAAAGATTAATGACTAAACCATGTCTTTACAAATATTGTACTCCACAAGCAAGTGTTTCTCTCTTCTCCATACATCATTTCTATAAACATAAGTATTGATATCATCTTTCAATTGTGAGCTCTAAAAATAAATTTAGGATCACAAGGTCTTTTGAGTGTTGTGAATGGGTTTGACTAACAAAGAAATATGATTTTTCTAGTTACACAAATTCCCAAACTTTAGAGAGAAAAATGAATACAAATGAACCTAAAACTAATGCTATTTAGAGGGGTGGCTTCCCACAATCTTATATTCACCATAAATTAAATATAGTTAACTAAAATACTAACTATTAAAAACTAAGAAATATTATCATATCAAAGTCACAACAATCTAATTTTTAAGTTGAAATTATCCTTGGAATTTAATATAGTGAATAAATCTAGTTTTTAAGGTGAAATTATCCTCGGAATTTAATTTAGTGAATAACATAATGTTATGGGTTGTGTTGTTCTATCAATATTTATCAAGAATTATTGGACTGACACTAGTTGCTCTGAGATTTATTTTCTTGTAGTTGGACACCACCAATTAGTTTAGAAATAAGAGGAGTAGAGTTTGAGCTAGAACTACATCCTGAATACATTTTTCTGGTTAAATTATTGTAGTTCATTAAATATAATATTGTAGATGTGAAAAAAAAAAAAAAAGATTGGACAAATTCTTCTTTCTTTTTGTATTGAACTTCAATTATTACATGTCGATATACGACTCAAAATCTTTCTTCGTCGTCACAATCTGACATTTAATCTACTCTAATGACATTTTTGCAAAATATATAGTAAATATTAACACATAAAGAAAAATTATAATAGTGTACTAAAATACACTGAAAAAACGCACAATTACGTAATCCTTGAACCAAATTTGTTTGAGAAAAAAAATTAATATGCGCATAAAAAGCCAAAACAGTATACACAGACGCTTTGATGCATATTCAATTAAAAAATACAGCTTCCGAGAGGGGTTAAAAAAAGGCCTAACCCATAGGAGTTTTATGTACAACAAAACACGCCAAAGTCTCAGCGTTTTGTTTGTTTTGTTTTTTTTACTTTTTCAAAACACAAAAAATGTTAAAGCCCCCATCGTTTCCTTCGATGATCCATGAGCAACATAAAACAAATCATTACGGGAAATAGTTTTTTTTTTTATATATTTTTTCATTTAAATTGACCAAAAAGCCTTCCATATGACGTTACACATATCATCTATCTAATCTATCATCTCTATTTACACAATCACCATGCTGATGAATACAGAAAATGTCTCTAGACGGTTTCCATTTTAAGATCAGTTGGGAGCCCAGCAGCTCAAGTACATAACAGTCCTCAAGGACTCCTCAGCCTGCTTGGCCTTCTCACCCTTTAATTTGGTTGCAACAATACCAGCAGAAGAAACATTCTTTGCTTGAGACAAGGATCCAACATGGTTTTTGAGGTGTTGTTGAGCACACCTCATGGCATAATTCCATCTGCACACACCCAGTTGGTCCTTCAAAGCCTCCACTGCTCCAACACTAGCTGCTACAATCCAACCCTTGCTTCTTCCATAACTCATCTTCTTTCTGGTGATGATGATTATGATGATCTCACTTCACAGATTACAAGACTTAGAATGCACGGTTGTTTAAGAAGTGGGTTTGGTTTAATTTGTTTGTTGAAGATAGACTATGAATGGCACCTCTTATTTATAGAGAACTGTAAAGTATGATATAGCAGCCAGTAGGCAGTAGCCACGTGTGCTTGAGTGAGGTGAGTAAAACTGGGAACAAAGACAAACCTGGTTTGGTGAAAAACCGGAGGCTCAATCTAAGCGGTTTCGGAGATTGAAACAAAAATATGCGGCAGCGTAATGGTACATGCACCGGATCTTGGACCACTTCACTCAGGCCCACAGGCCCACAGATTATTAAATACTCCTAGTCCTATATTGCTTCTCGTTTCAGTTTCACTATTATTTTTTAAATTTACTTTCTTGTCAACTATATAAAAAAAAATAAGAGAGATCCACTTTTTTTTAAAAAAATAAGTTTTGATACATGTATTTATTCAAGAACTCATATCTTATATTAATTTTTATACATTTAATAGTTAAATTAAAAGTTATTAATGTATGATCAAGTTTATTGATTTTTTGAAAATTTATATATTTTATGATATTTTATTTTAAAAATTAAAATTAAAATATAATTTTTTTATAATTATATATTAATTTAAATTAATGAAATAAATTATTAAATAATTTCTTAAAATTTTTAAATTTTATAAATTTGATTTAATCATTAAAATTTTTTAATTTAATGATTAAATCACAAATATTTAATGTAAAACATGAGTTATTAAATAAAATAAATCTATCAAGATTTATTCTTGGACTAAGTGATCCTCCTCATAAAAAAAATAACTAAGTATTTTTAATTATAAAAAATGATTCACTTTATTAATCATTTTATATTCTTTATTGTTGTGAATTCTATAAATAAGACATTTATTTATTAATCAATTAATAAAATAGGTTTAGAAAAAGTTACCTGTTGAATTTATAGTGTCATTAAATGTAATTAATGTTTGGATAGTTCGAATGATACATGTTTTTAGAATAAAATTTTAATTTATGGTATTATTAATAAAGTTAGTTATTTTAACTATTTTATTGACTTAGATGAATAAATTATTTGTTTTTTTTTATAAAGACCGGAGAGAGTTTGTTTTCCAAATATATTTGAAATTCTTTTCTTTTGGTACAGATATTTGAAAGTCTTCATTCCTAATTTAATTTTATTTTGAAAATATGTTTTTTTTAATATTTAAAAAGGGTACTTAAGTAAGAAAGAAAATGAGAAAACATTACCCAATTGTTTCTGTGTTTTATTTATATTGTGCTTTTCAAAACTATATAATTTTGATGAGAAATTAATAAGTGAGTACTACGAAATTGTTTTTGAAAAAGTTGAAAAGAGAATCATACAGCCTTTAGTTTTGAAAAACTGTCCTTTTTTATTTTTCTTATTTTTATCCTTTATCTTTTTTAAATAACTTTTCATAAATATTGATTTATATAATTTTTAAATATTTTCATTTAACTTTAATTTCGTTTTTCATTTAACTCATTTAAATATCATGAAATTTTATTTTGATATTTTTAAATTTCATGACTTTTTTATTTAATCTTTGAAATTAAAAAAAAAGATATTTAGAAGAATTGACAAAAATAAATAAATGAAAGGACATGTTAATAAAATATAATTTATAAAAAAAATCATTTAAAAATAAAATAAGGAATTAAATAGAAGTCATACTTTTCTAAGGGATTAAAACTTAATAAAGGCTTTTATATATATATATATATATATAGTCCTAGCTTTTTGGCTTCTTTTCCTAATCTTTATCATTACAGAATTGTATTTAGGGTTTTAAATAGAATTGCACATCATTAATTTCATCAGTTTTATTTTTAAAATAAATTGAAATGCTCACGTTAAAAAAATATATCCCTGGAATATGAACAGTTAAACATATCCTGGGCAGGTTCCATTCCAAGATGAATTAATTTTTGTTATCCCTAAATTCCGAATAGACTTAATTTTTGTTATCAAGCAAACTGCAGTGCTGTGACCTTCCTCATGGGACGCAAATCTTAGGAGCTTGGAAAAAGGTTTAGGGATTTCTGTTTCTTGATGAATCCGAAATGTGCTGCAAATAATTGTGCTCTTTTTCATTGATTATTTTCATTACATCAAGACTTACTTTGCTATATAAATACATTTACATCACACAATTATTCAGCATAACACATAATAACCCCAGTCATATTAGAAACCATATACAAAAATAGCAATTTCTGTCTCGAATTTTATCATTCCAATGATGATTCAACGTGGATCAAATTAATCAAAGCGATTGCCACGAATTAGCATTGGTGATCTCTTCCAAATCCAATCCAAGGGAGCAAAAGGCATATTCATCTTCTGCCTCTTCCTTCAATTCGTATTACTTCAAGAAAGAAATCGAGAATTGCATGAAATCCATGCATCTTTGTTCAGTTAGGAGTTAGGACCCCAACAACTCAAGTACATGACGGTTCTCAAAGACTCCTCTGATTGCTTAGCCTTCTCATCCTTGAATTTGGTCGAAGCCATAGCAGAAGATTGAGAGGAAATCTTCTTGGTCTGAGAGAAAGTCCTCATATTATGTTTAGCATGTTGTTGTGCTGATCTCATCACACTGTTCCACCTGCATATGCCCTGGTCCTTCAAAGCCTCCACCACCCCAACACTCGCTGCCACGGTCCAACTCCAAGCACGGCTTGTTGAACTCATTCTTCACAACCCTTTCAACAATATTACAAACTAAACTAGATGAAGCTAATAGTTTTCTTTTGTGTGTGTGTTCAACGTATGAACGAGGTAGTTTCTAGTTTGATGTGTGTTTGGAGAATATTGATAAGCTGAAGATGAATGAATGGGATGGACGTTGGTGGTTGTTAATATATACTATATAGTGTGAGACAATGGAAAACACAGACACTAGTTTAACTAGTTTGTGTGAAAAACCAGAGGCAGTGAAAAAGGCATGCACATGGTTTTGGCTCGTGTTTTATTTGTTAGGTGGCATCTAATCCCATTAAGAATCTATCAAGTATCAACACACTAGCTGTTGTAGGACCACGCAACTTCAACTTGCACTCGCCAGCGCTGGATTATTGCTCATTGGAAGCGACAAAAGATGATGATTGATGCTTACGCGTTTTTTAGTGCTTTATCAGCTAACTGCGCACATTGTTTATTAAAGAGAATCGTATGGTACGGTACGTGGACCCAAAACCACTTCAGTCTTCAGTAATTGAAAGAAACTGGTACATATAAATTGGTGCAGCTGAAATTCAATACCTGGACCTTATCATGTATGGATAATGGATTAACGTTATCGATGTGTGTCGATAGGAAGTGGATAAAGAGGTACGAATGAGAATTCAATTGGGAGATAAATCATTTCGTAAGAAAAATACTGGTGCTGCCTTTAACTTATTATAGAATTGTAAATAAATTAATTAATGTTCATTTACAATCTCATGGGAAATAATGGTTGTATCAATATATAGTTTGTTTTTTCATTATTGAAGTAAGGAAAATACTTATCATTTAATTACATTGTCGGTTCTCTTTTATCTTACTTTCTCATTTCATCACGTCACATATATATATTTATCATTTTCTATTTTTTCTTTTTCTTACTATTATCTCTCTTGTTTTCAATCAAGATCTTCTGCGATTTATATTTTAACCGCATGTATCTTAACCTTTAGTATGTATTTTTACTTGAACATAACATTAATCACTAGTACACAAAGGGTCTTTTACGTCGCTTAAGGAGACCAGAGAGAAAGAATTCAACTCATCAATCAACTTCGTACAATCTTGGTCAAACTCAGCAAGGGAGACGACTTATTCGAGTTAGGAAGACGACCTGATTCGTGTAAGTACAATTGTTGTTAGAGAAATGATTTGATTATAACTTAGGATAAAGACAGAGAAGAGATAAGTACTGCAAATACAATAGATGAAATGATGTGATACAAATGAGAAATAAAAAAAGTAATTAGTCTTGATAATGATAAGATGTACACCACTCTTTTACTGACACCTGTACAAGTTGAGCAATATTACACAATCTTTGCAGCGACATGCTCTTCGAAATGGAATTGTATGATTAACGCAGAACAGAAGGAAAATGAAGGTAACCATGATGAATTGGATTTGTAGCAGATTGTCGTGATCATCCAGAATTTCTACTACCAATTCATAATGTTAAATGTCACCATCTTATTAAAAATATTATTATCTTTTATTTAATTTAAATAATTTTTGAATATCTTAATTGTATGATTGCGTGAATATTTGGAACAATCCTCCCCCCTTTGAACTCCCACTCAGTGAAACCCAACCAAACGGGGGCTCTCCTAACTTTATTTGATAAAAGTGCATAAATCTCGACAAACTTACTTCGATCCCTAATACTGAACACAATATTTGAAATGCACGCAAGAAACCCCAACTATTAGGGTGCAGTTGACTTGGTGCTATATTTACCTTTTCCAAAAACGAACACTCAAATGGTGTGAATGGCATTAGAACACCTAAATCCTTAAACACGCACTAATACATATATACACCGGGAGCCACACTTGACCCTTCGAAGTACACACGCTCCTCAGACGAACAGGGTTCTATTAAGATTGGCTCTAGCATAGGGGGCACACAGAACTTTAGGTGATGCTGCAAAACACTCACGCCCATTAAATCCCCAAACCTGCTGCCATACTGACCAACATCACCCCTCACCCATTCGTACCCAGATGCTACAATTATGGGATGAGAATCTTTCCGATTGTTCCCCCCTCTTTTTCGAACTTTCGTCTCCTCCACCTCCACCATTTTACCTTTTCCCTTACCACCTTTCATCCCACCCTCACCCAGAAACTTAAGCCTATGGAATGCGTATAGGCCGTAGCCAAAACTTAAACGCAACGCAGCAGGGCTAAGGGAATACCTGGCAATGACAACGCTTTACCCACGGAGACGTTGCTTTCACGTTTCCCCTTCTAGCACTTCCCTAAAAGCATACGAATGTATACGTCTATGCACAAATCCCTTTATAATAGCATTCTTACATCCCTCCAAAACCCAAGCGTTTCCTTTAAACCTCACACATCCCCACACGCCTGTCGTTTCGTATTTGACACCCATTTATTGCAACCCATCACCCTTCCAACACGTGCACTGAAACGACACGACCCTTTAGACGCCAGCTGTCATTACTTAAACACTATGTATGTACCACCACCGAGATCCTAATATGACATATCGGCCAGTGTAAGTTGACTTAAACCCTGAGATCAACGAAAGCGATATCTCAATATATAAACAACATCAAATATATAACACGTGCCAATAATGATCGACCTAACCATAATTAACTCACCTCGGACAACTGCTATGGCGGTTACATCGAAAAACCGCACAACCCAGGTAAACGATAAGAATGAGAATACACAATGGATGAGGACTAACTTGATCGTCGGAGTCCTTTTTGCAGGTACATCCGAGACGCCCGAGCAAGGAGACCAGAGAGAAAGAATTCAACTCATCAATCAACTTCGTACAATCTTGGTCAAACTCAGCAAGGGAGACGACTTATTCGAGTTAGGAAGACGACCTGATTCGTGTAAGTACAATTGTTGTTAGAGAAATGATTTGATTATAACTTAGGATAAAGACAGAGAAGAGATAAGTACTGCAAATACAATAGATGAAATGATGTGATACAAATGAGAAATAAAAAAAGTAATTAGTCTTGATAATGATAAGATGTACACCACTCTTTTACTGACACCTGTACAAGTTGAGCAATATTACACAATCTTTGCAGCGACATGCTCTTCGAAATGGAATTGTATGATTAACGCAGAACAGAAGGAAAATGAAGGTAACCATGATGAATTGGATTTGTAGCAGATTGTCGTGATCATCCAGAATTTCTACTACCAATTCATAATGTTAAATGTCACCATCTTATTAAAAATATTATTATCTTTTATTTAATTTAAATAATTTTTGAATATCTTAAACTTTAGAGTTTTATTTTTATCAAAATAAATATAAAAAATTAGTTTTATTTATTCTTTAAGTTTTATATATTTTTTATGCTTTTGTTACTATCTTAGATACATAAAAGATAAGAACGAATAAGGGATTAGTTAAGGATTCAAATTAAGAGGACTAAATCTATCGATTCTCATCACTTAAACAAGTATTTGGTCATTTAAGCAAGACAAAACCAAAAGTAGTTGAGTAGTATTATAATTTTTCACTTAGAGCGAGAATAAAATACCGCTTAGATCAATTCTATGCTTGCTCAAACGAATCATATAGTCGCATAAGGAACAAACATAAAAACATACCTCAATGCATCATGGAATACTTACTCAAGCAAATCAACTGATTACTCTAAACGAATGTATCCCGCAAATACAATTAAAAATAGCTCATCTAAATCTTATAAAAAGAAAGATAAAGAAAGAATAAAAAAAACACTTCACAAATTATATATTTTAGAGAGATTTAAGAAAAAGAACGAGTTATTATTAAAAATTATCGTAACTAATTCTATTCCATATAATTCTCCTTGTTTTTGTTTAATAAATTTTTTTATTTCATTTAAAGTTTAGAGTTTTGAATTAATTGTTACTGAAAAACTGAACAGCCATTTTTATAAGTTAAGAGGGACGAGCTAGTGGGAAAATGGGACCATTGTGGCAATAAATGTTCACTCTACTATTTTTCTTCTTGGGCTTAGATAACGCTTCAGATCATTATTTACATTTAATTACATTCCCATTATCTAACAGCTTTTTTTTTTTTATAAAAAAAATCCCATTATCTAACTTAGGGTAACATATATAATATCATAGTATTTATTTAAAGGCATAATATTGCATTTAGATTAATTTAGGAGACGTAAAAGCCACTTTTTCCACTAGTGAATAGAAAAATAAAATAATAAAAAGAAATGATGATGATGAAAGATTAAACTCTACCTACTGTAGTTATTTTCTAATTATGGAAGATTATTCTTCATTTTCACATTAATCCATCTCATTTTGAAGTAGATAAATATCATTAATCTCCTAGTAAAATTCAATTCTTTTTGCAATAAAAATTATTAACTTAGTGTTTGGTTGGAGGAAAATAATTAAAGAGGAGGGAAGAAGAACAAAACTTTCTTCCTCTAAGTTTAACTCCTCTCTAATATTTGAGAGATTTAGGAGAGAGAATATGTTGATTACTTCTTTTTTAATGGGAGCTTATGTGCCCTTTAGTTGAGGTGAATATTTCACTTTGAAAATATTTCGAAGTTATTTTTAATGTGGTTCATTATTGGTCTAATAAGTTCAAGTAGTTATCCTTACAACAACTATGTATATATACTCATTATTTTGTACGTGATTTTTTTTTTTTTGTGCTAATTTTGTGATAATCAAAATTTTATATAAGATCATGTGTTATTTTTTCTGCTCTTATCTATAGCATACAACACCACTCCTGTAAGTTGGATTGATTATTCTGTATTCCACTTCTGTAAACTACTCATGGCTGACTGGCCGGCCCCGGTGCAGTTTCGAGGTGCGCTGGCTTGGACCATAGCTAAGAGAGGGCCCAATTTTATAAAAAAGATATATAGTTATATGATAATTTTTTATATTATTTAAAAAATACCTTAAAATTATTATCTTTTATATTTTTTTATAATTAAATAAAATATGATACATTATAAAGTCTTGATATTTTTGTCGTTATTTTCTTTTTATGTATTACATTCACAAAAGAATAATATATATTTTTGGTCCTCTAAATTTTTTTAGCTTGGTTTTAGACTTTTATTTTTGTTATTCTATTTCGATCTTGTTAATTTAGAGATATACCAATTTTAGTCTTCAAATTTGTTTAGATAGTACTTTATAATAAGTAAATTGAATGAAAAATATTAATTATCTTTATATTATTTGTTTGATGTAATAAAATATGTATCATTTTTAATTAAATTGTATATTTTTTTAATATTATAAATATTTACATTCTAAAATATTTATATACAAGGATCTCTAATTATCATTTTCTAATACTCACAAAATATCAGGCCTTGAAGGGTGCATGACAATATTTGAGACATGCACAAGTATTTATACAATTCTTTATAATTAGCAATATATTTTAAATAGTTTTTTTTAAGTGCTTAGAAAACCAATATACTGAAAATGGTCTATTTACAAAACAACCGATTAATTTTTTCTTATGGAAGATACTCTGATAATAAAAAGCACGTTAAAGGTATATTATAACATTTTTCTTAACTGCATTATAAAAGGTCTTTTAATTTACACATCAAATAAATTTAAAATCTTAAGCCTAAATAATATCTAGCTATACCAAGGGGATGAAATCACACAAATTTCCATGCCGAAGCAAGCATGAGTTTTTATTGATAGGCAATTTACAGTCATATCTAAATGGTAACTAACCCAGGATGCCCCATCAGCAAATAAAGGATCAAAACCTTCACCTTGCTCAATATATCATCCACCAACGGTGCTGCTATGAGCACTCATCTCTAGTTTTATAGAATTACGTGGCTGATGAGTGATGAGTGGTATGGCATCATATTTTTGTGCCGTACGTACTTGCTGAACTATGCTAATATTAATAATTTATCACTAATCTAAGAATTGGGACCCCATGTACTCAAATACATGACTGTTCTCAGAGACTCCTCTGCCTTTCTCCTCTTCTCATCTCTCCCCATATTTGAAACTGCTGAAGAAGAAGGAGAAGCCAGCTTCTTGGCCTGAGTTGCCGACCCTATTTGGTTCTTGGCATGTTGAGCCATCGACTTCATTGTGTTGTTCATTTTGCAATACCCTTGATCCTTCAACGTCTCCACTACTCCAACAGTCGTTGCAACCAACAAAGCACCACGGTTTGCACACATATTATGTTGTTGTCGTGTGTTATATATCGTTTAAGGTAGTGAGTAGTATGAGTACAAGTGTGAGTGTGTGACTTGGTGCTTATATAGATTAAGGGTGGAGTGAATACCAGATGCTATGGTTTTGGTTGTTATATTATTACAAGTGGTTTGGATATGTAGCCAAAGGTTTTTCTTTCACTCTCTGTCTTTATTCATTAGCTTTTGTTTGTTTGTCTTCGTATAGCTGAGATTTTAGTTGAGTTTGCATTTTAATTATTGCTGGCTGCTGCCAATTGCAAGATGCTTTAATTAAGCAGCACATGGTTTTGCAACAAGCCCATATTATAAGTGAATTTGTACCCGTATAGTTTGGGAGTCATACCATTCTTTATTTTTAATTTGTTTGGTAGTATAAGATATCTTTCAGTCGAAAGTCATAGATTAATTCTTTGAAGTATAAAAAAATTTATTTAAGAAATTGATATTTTTCAATAGATACTCTTTTGCACACATGAAATTGAAATTGAGAATGATACTTCTAACCACATACTTGAAGAAAATAGTGATCTATCAATTATACCATGTTAATATGTTAGAGATATCTTTGTTTATTAAACGATGATGATGAGTTGGGGGCATATCAAGAGAGCCACCTTAAGTATAAGAATTGAGGGAAAATGATATCAATATATAATACTATGTATTTGGCGTCGCCCACGCACACTTTTCAAACGAATATGTCTTTTATTGGACAGAGTAGTAAAAATAGAAGGACTGCGGTCTTTGCTTGCATTATCACATTGAGAACGACGAATTTACTAAATTCAGACATGGCCTGTTTTTTACCACTACATTTTGTAGATGCATCGCATGTTACGTGAAAAGATCATTTGATTTGTTTATTCATACATGAACCTTTTGCTTCAACTATAAACTTATATTTTGATACACAAAAAGAAAGGCATGATGGATGAAAAGTGGGGAGCGTAACAAGTTGCTTCGTGTTAGGGTTCTACTTCTAGTGGACATAAAGAGAAGGTGAAGATGAGAAGGGCTGAAATGTTTATTGTTGGGATGCAAACAAAGTCTCACATTATTTAAATAAGAGGATGAATTACATGAGTTTATATACACACAATTGTCTCCATTGATTGAAAAGCTTTTTTGATGATGTTCAAAAGCAAAACTGTGAGGGTTGGACCCAAAGCGAACAATATCTCACTAATGTGGAAACATATGTATGTGTGTGGTAACCCGCGATGCACAACAAGTGGTATCAAAGCCAATGGTCTGATAGCCTGATCACGTGACCTGGACGAGTATGATGACTGGCAGGTGGATCCAAGTTTGAAATGTCTTCCTAACGATGGGTCTATGTGAAAAAGAGTCATGTACAACACTTATGCATCTCATCTGTTGGGGACCTAAATACACAATTTTCTATTCATATTTGTCTTTGCGGTGGAATAGCCTTAATTTGAATACGAGACTCTAACACACTCTTCCTATTTATCTCTACTTTATTATTAAGTTAAAATTTATTAAAAATTATGAAGTTAAGAAAGATTTAATAAATAAAAAGTAAAACAAAAACTTGTGGTTTCTAGCTAATATTTTAATTAATAATAAAAAAACATATTCAAATGAATATGTTACTATAATAATTTGTCATAGTATGGTAAATACCAACGACATACTTTTTTGAATACCATTTTACTTCCTGATTCATAAATTTCACTTATAAGTTTATTAACTTCTAATAGATTTTATTCATAATAAAAATTATAATAAAAAAATGTGTTAATGATTATGTTAACTTACCCTAATCTTCTGTAATTACTAGATGAGAGGAAGGGCGTAAGGGATTGTAGAAGCCCATGTGTGTTCCTTTTTCCCTTTGGAAGTTACCAATTCCAATAACATAGAGAGTACCTCACTCTGTTCAGCTGCTTTACTCAACGAAAAATAACTGTCTCATCATCCATATCATGTAGAATTTTCTTTATGGGCAAAGGTATATTTATTTAAAGATTAAATTACATTCCATGTAATATTCGATTTGCGATCATGTTTTTCCATATTTTAATCACCTAATTTTATAAAGTCTTATATTTTAATTTAACCACTAAATATTCATCATTCATAATTAAAATTATAGCTTTGATCATAAGTAGATATATATAATTAATATTTAATAATATTAACCTAAATTGTAATTTTACTCATATTTTATTCTCTCTACCCTCCTAAAAGTAGTGAAAGGAGATGGAAATAGAATAAAATAAAGATAAAAAAAATATATAATTTAGTTTAAATATTATTAAATATTAAATATCATTTATTTTAAGTCATATCGTTAAAATTAAAATATAAATGTAAAAGTAAAAACTGGGATTAAAATTACATATTGTAAATCAAAGGAAGTTAAAGATACAATTTAGCCTTATTTTAGAAAAAATACTGACAAAATTTAACATAATTGATACATAATTGAATTTTTTTAAATTATATTGATAAAGAGTCAATTCTATATATATAGAGAGAGAGAAGAAGGTTCAAACGATATCGGTGTAATTTTTACTAAGTATTACACTACTCAATAACTTTATATTAAATATGAATTTTATAAATCTAACCGTTAGGTTAAAAGTTCTTTACTCTTAGATTATATATATATATATATATA